GAACACATTAGAATAGGTGTATTGCATGAAAAGGGGCAGTGCATGTGGGCGTTATTAGCTAAATGAATTTTAATAAATAACACTGAAACATAATGAAACATAAGACAATATGAAAGATGAAATTAAATCCTTGTTGAAGTATGCAAGGCAGATAATGGGATACAGCGGTGAAACAGATGAGTTTAAGGAGGTGCGTAATGCTGCATGTTCAATTTATATGTAAATCAATCCACCTAATAGAATGACCTCAACCAGGTGCCAGAGGATAGGAAAACGATCCCACCCAAAAGCATTTTTGAATTTTGAAATCTCATGAGCTTTTACGAGAACAGGGTGTCAGCCTGGTGCTACAATAACCCATTAGAGAACAGGCTAATGAGGTGATTTATTTGAGAATACCGCACAGCACCCACAACAGGCTACACAATACATGTATGTAACTTAGTCTGCACAGGGTGCCCATATACAGGTACCTCCAGCAGGGAGCAAACTGCCCTATTCACCCATGTCTGCATCAGCATGAGGCGGATAGATGGGTGACAAACATGTCAACACTATCTGCCACATGTCACCTTTTTGTCCTGTCGTAGGCTGAAACAGATATACTGTGGGTCTGTCACACTGACCCTTCTTGTTAGAGAGACAGCAGAGGATAATCTGGGGAGAACAAATGATGTGCTGTGAACCCCCTGCTGCGTGACCTTTGACCATACACATACTTTAGACATGGTAGCCTGTCTACATGATGTCTGTGACATGAGACAATTACTGTACAGGATAAAAGTAGATGGCGTACAATCAGAAAATCCTATGCATATTTCAACAACTTGTTTAAATTAAGAGTTTTTTCTTTTCAAAAAAGGGTCTGTGGGCGTGTTCTGTGGAGCAAAGTCACTATAGTCCCACTGTCTATCAGTCACTAATGGTGTGGAGCAGTGGGAGGCCAGGACACCTGGGTCTGCTGCCTGATAATGAATATGATGAAGATGGATAATACTTTACCCTGTCTGAAACCGTGTTCTCAGCTAGGGAGTGATTACTGCGGTAATTGGGATCCATGGTGGCTGCCGCTGGAGATACTGATGATGAGGCTGTCTCAACTAAAATGTAGATAACATTGACATTACTCATATTGGACTCAAGAGTTACAACTTCACAAATCACCACTGACAACCTGTGACCTGGAATTTCACAGTATATTTGTATGTATTTGTATTGTATACATTAGCGAAAGGAGTGATATGTTTGAAGATGCTGGATTAAGAACATGAAGGCTTTTAGAAGTCTCTTACTATTATAAATGATGTTTTTGGGATAATATTACTGTTGCATTAATGTGTATGTTGCATTTCACTTCTGTAAGATCATCATATGTTTATAATATTGCTTTTCTGAGAGAACTCTTCATGAGCACAGAAAAACGACCCTATTTCCTGCATTGTGACAATGCATTTTCCAGCTAATCCTAGGTAAGAAGTAGGAGAATTTTCTTGACCCAGAGTAACACTGAATCCTTCAGTTTATCAGGAAAAATTCAATTTCAAAATCACAAAGTCTAGAGGTACAAGGTTTTTATTTACATGAAGGGTATAGAAAACTATAATCTGAAAAGTAACAATTAGGGAAAGCTGTCAGAAAAATGTAGTGGAGTAAAAAGTACAATATATGCTTTAAAGATGCAGTAGAGTAGACCTAAGCACCTTGAATTTGTACTTGAGTACATGTATTTAGTTACATTCCACCACTGGCAAAGGGTGGCTGCAGTGGAGCAACAGGACCTCAGTGTCAAATCCTGTGTTTATGAACCCCAGCTTTCCCTGAAAATCTGGCCATGTCCTCACATGTCCCCTGCCATACCTGTCTGAACAACAGTGCAGTCTCAAACAACATTGATATGCCAGTCACACAATAGACACAGGGACAAAAACGCTTAACTGGAAAAGGAAACAGAGCAGGAAAGCACTGATGATATTACTCACTTTTTCGTGTCATTTGTGTCTCTCTGACCACCTCTATCTTGTGCCATGGGGTTTGACACATTGATTATACTGCTACGTGTGCCATCTCCATACTTCAATGTTCTTATTTTGAAAGATTTCATAAAGAGATTTATGAAGACCCCAGAGTGATCATTACGAGGTGGCCGTGTCAGGCACCACTTCTTCTTCTTCTATGAGGTTTGGGGTTCCTGAGGGATGATGGGTGTCCTCTAGGTAGTGTCCTAGTGCATAGAGGGTGCCGGGACTAAAGAGGGGGGGTGCTCTTAATGACCATCTGCTCAGAGAGCAACCTTTTTAATGAAGACGGATGTTGGGAGGATCTGACCAGGGGGCTCCAGGCAGGGGTTTAATGACACACCCTCCTATGTCTGGACCTTCTAGGTTGTCTTACGTGCCCTGTCAGCCCTCACCAGAGTGCTGGCACCAAGAAATTCAAACAGGCCTCCTAAAGCTGTACCACTGCTATCAAAGTACTCACACACACCCCACAAGCATGTGCCACTTAACTATGATAACTGCAGTTGTGGAGGATTTTCACCCTGAGCCATATGAGTTAAGTTAAACTTAAGTCTACACTCACACACTATTTAACAAAATATAAAAAGAATGTCATAGTGAAGCATGAAGCACATTCAAGAGCAAATGCAATACAATAAATATGTTAATCTATGTTTTCATTTTCAAGCACAAATATGAGATGTGTCATACATCCTGAACTTTTTGTATTAATTTAAACAGCAACGTTGCAAAAGAAGTAGCTACAGTATTGAAAGCTATTTATTTTAAACCTATTTTCTTTAATTTCACATTCTGAGATCATCATCAATAAGGTCAGTTCTTATGTGACCATGTGAAACATCCAAGGTCTTGTGTGCACATGTCCAACATGCAGATAAAAGCTCTACTCTGAAAGCATTATATCAAGTTGGGTCATTGTTGTTGCCTTACGCTTTGTCATTGAGCCACATCATGTTATGGTTGAGTAACCCAGATTTAATTGGATTTCAGTTACTTAAATTAAACTCCTTTTCACTCTTGATCTGCATCTTTTGTTGTCCAAGCTTCTTTTCTCCCTTTGTGTTTATATTGAAGTCTTGGGAAATGTTTCTGTTGATTTGGCATACTCAGAGTCCTGTGATTATGCTCCAGCGCTCAGGCCTCATCGTCCTAGATGCGATTCCAGAGCCGCAGTAATAATAATACCCAAAAAGGAAAGAGGGAGCTTACAGCACCCACATCCTTAGGCTTCACCCCCGAACGTGCACTCAAATTAAAAACAAGCCCATGGCCTAACGGCGGTTCTAAACACAGGGACTGTTGTGTCAGCAATCTTTTATTAGAGTCATCCTGTTCAGAAACACAGCAGGGAGGAGGAAAAAGACAGAGTCTGCTGGAGGAGACATGGGCGCCTGTGTTCTCTGCTGTCCTTTTCCTTTTTTTCCATCAGATATCACTTCTCTGTAAAGGTTGTTAGAGAAGTCAACTAAGATTGACAGATGGAGATGGAAGACACTCAGAAGCCCATCTCTCTCACACTCATCTTCATCTGAATGTAGGTACTGACAGTTGTGGAGCAGAAGGAGATGGATGAATTGGTCTTTTCCCCTACTGTATGTCATGTACAGTGGATGGTGCTGCATCTCTATTTATCTTTTCTTTTTTACTTTAGATGTCTTACAAAACATTAATTTAACACTATTGGCTACAAACAACATGAGTGATTTTAATGTTTATGAGAGACTTTTAATGCAATCTCGGATATGAGTGTGTGTAACGCTGTATTTGTCTATTAATATGCCGTGAGTAAGTATGTGAGGTGCCGCAGGCTAATAGCAGCCGTTATAATGAGGGATGATACCAATAAATTGATATCTCCTACACTCACCAGAGTCCTCTCTGCAGCTGCAGTTAAAAGGATTGACTCAGCCTTCACTAACCTTGTATTTGACTTGAACTGTCATTAGCAAATCAAAAGCAGATTAATTAATCACAGGTCCACTGGGGTGTGCATTACCTTAAGTGACTATTGTAATATAACCTAAAGAGAAATCACCCATGGTTTCTCATCTTGACACCAGAATGAATGCTTTGCTACTTCCAGGAGTGCTGATGCTGTCATCAAGAGTGGGGGAAATGGATTCTGTAAGTGGTGGAGAGTCTATTAGAGCATTAATTCTGCGACAAATGGAGCTTTTCACAAATGGTCAACACTTATATCTCATCTAGTTCTTTAAGTCTTATTTTTACCACTTTGTTGCACCTATTTGTCCACTTTCTCTCCTCAAATACTTTCCTTAAAACATTCAGCGCTTCTGTTTTGAGAATGCAGAGGAGTCCATGGACTACTAGAGAAAAGTTAAGTGACATGTTCCAGTTTGACCGAGAGTGTTTTAAACTGTAAATGTTATCCAGTATGAGCATATCCATGAAAGCACCGATCCAAGTGTCAGTTTTTGTTGTTGAGAAGAAGAGCAAGCAGCTACATCTGCATTGTTGTTCTGCCTCAAGCTTAGATGTTTTACCATCCTGTTATACTCTGACATTTGGAAACGCACCATGACTCACTTAGTCGAGGGAAGAAGAGGCCAAATCACAGTGGGGCCGGTGGATCCCTGAAAGATGTAGAGTATTTTATGTAATCATGTGAACAAGGGGCAGTCTTATCTTGGTGACCTTCACAAGCATCACATTTGTCCTTTCTTACATCTTTACATTTCTTTTTTCTTATTATTTTTTCTGTATCTGTAAATGTATGGTGCTGAGAACCACCCCACTGGTGTACTAATAGTATCCCCTGCTGGCTAAAGAGGGAACACTTCACACAAGAAGAAAAAGGGAGATTAGAAAAGACTTCTGTTCTGCAGTACATCACTGTTCCCTCCTTTTAGTGTTTTAAAAATGTTTTTATAGACATCAGATCAGGAATATGAAAGTAATATTGTGATGAACTGAAGCTGAAATACTGCATGAATGTAGGCCCAATAAATTGCTTTCACAGGCTGGGAGCAGAGTAATTTAATGTTATCCCACCAGAGGTCACTACTACTTTAAATTCAAAACCATAATTTATTTTATCTGAAATCTCAAGTGATCAATCTCAATCATCTAATGAGCACAGTAATTCATAATCAGTAATTTCCCTGTAGCAAAAATAAAAGTTTTCATTTAGGTAATAATCTCACAGGTATATTTTATAGATAACAGTGACAGGCAAAGCATCCTCATTTGGATAATACAGTGAAAAGCCCATAAGCCAATGAAGTCACTGAACGATATGCAGCAACAATGCACCATTCTGATCAATGCAAATTCTCAGCAGTCATTATGTCTGACTGCAGACCACAATTAGTCCTCCAACCCCTCAAGACACACCAGTCAGCACAGTCTGTTTACACACATGTATTTTCATTTAGTGGATGCTGTCTGTCAGTCAGCTGTAAGTTCATCATTATGATAAATTGTGGAGTAGAGATCCGCTTCGATGTATGTTCCCAAAGAACAGCCACCATCCCTTCCTCCTATAAACATGCTGGTTTCCATGGCAACCTGGAGCAGGATCTACAGAGCAAATACTCCAGTGGCCAGGAGAAAAGTGCCAAACAATGGTGTCTGAGCTGGGAGCAGGAAAAGGAGGATAGCGTTAGTGAGGAACACAGTAGGTAGCAGATTCGTCCAACACAAAGTCACAAGCAAAGTTCAAATTATGAGGTGGTGGGAATTCTCAGAGGCATAAAGAATTATATACAGAAGAAAACTGTATCAAGCAAACTTGTCATGTCATGGCTGTGGGGCTGTCAGAAAGACAAAAGAGTAATGAAAGTGTGCCTTCCATATTGAATTTGGCCAAGTAGCCTATGTTATGTGCTGAAATGATAATCTTGATATCATTTTCTTTCCTTTTTAGAACAGCATTTTAAAGATGTTTACAATCTCAGTTTTAATTAGAAGAAAAACAAATATCTTACAGCAAAGAACAATGGACATGTAACTGCTAGGCCTGTGTATAAGGCCAGAGGCTGACGCTCATTCACTCCCTTCTTAGCCTTTAAGGATACCTTGTGGCTATCTGTATGCAGCTATAGGCCTATGCAAAATTTTATACCCAAAACTCGTTAACCAGTTACCACCAGAGATAAGTTGTTTTTAACAATGTTTTCAATACTTCAGTTACAAATGATAGCCTGAAGCCATCTTAAAAATGTGACTTATTGAATTCCTGCAAGAGTGCGAACCTTTTAAAACTGTAGGCTATTTTAAGTGAACATGAAATAAAGTTTTCCTTTCCATAAACTTGAATTAACAATAGTTTTGACTAATATTAAATATGCAACTGAGCAAGAAATACATAGCTTATTCTTTATGGCATGATTGCTCACCTAAAGACCGTCTCCGCGCACACGCGTGTGCGCCAGCGCAGTGTGGGCTGTGTCAGGGGACCCGTAAACCAAAAAAAAAAATCTTTACTTATTCACTGCTGAGGTCCACTCAGTTTAAAATGACGTCGTTCACACAAAGCTGTGTCAAGGGCAGATGGGGTAAAAGAGAAGTTCCTGGAAACAGAGGAGTGAGGCGGGACGCTGCGGTTCAAACTGAAAGATTCTTCAGAGGCTTGACTTCTCTGCTCAGTGCACACACATCACAAACTCTCAGAGAAACACGGCAGCTGATCTGCTGGTTTTATCCAGATTACGTTCATAGCTCGGCAGACTGAAGGAGCCCCTCATGCTGACATGTCACTTTGGGAAAAGTGTTGGCGACGACAACAGGTGAGTAAAGGCGGCACAGACAGTGAGACGGAAAAACTTGAAAAAGGTCATATTTATGACGGTTTGAGGATACTGTTTTAGATTGAATTCCGAAGAGATTCATCAGAGCTGCTGCTGTTTATATGGGATACGGTGAAAGCACTTATACTTACCTAAACCTGAACTTTAAAAGTAGCTGGCTTTGAGCATGTTTATGAATATGATGATACAACAGAACGTGTTAACTCTCAGTCATCATTTTGACATTTTAATGAAATATAATTTTCGTATGGTAGTAAATTGGATAATAATTGTTTATTTATATTAGTAAACCTGAAAAATCTCGTTAAAATACAGTCTAAAAATACATGGGGCTCAGTTGGTTGTGGTTGAGTGGTTTTCTAGTTTAGGTTCAAAGTACAAAGACTGTGGATTGTATATTATATGTGATGTTTTAATCTCATATTTTAATATTCTATTTATTTGGACTTTATCTTTTATGTTTTGTTGTTTTTTATTCCCTAGGTATGAGCAGGGGTTTATCATATCCTGTGTAAATCAAGTTTTACCATCTGCAGCTATTTAAATCAACTTTCTCAAGAACGTCTAATGAATCTGCCGCAGCCATGACTGGAAAAGGTTGTCAGCTCCTGGTGTCTCCTTGCAGTGTGTCCCCATCACTGAGCATGATCAGAGGACACCAGTCCAAATCCATCAGGATGCCCATGCCCTCCCCTCAACGGGCCAATCTCAGTCCCTCCACGGGCATGGAAAAAGTGAAAAGAGGGGCCTTCCACTCCTTTGCTTCCGGGAAACAGAGCGAAAGCCATGTTGTCCTGCCAACCTTGAGTCTCCGCAGACAGGTGTTGACCAATGGGAAGCATCTAAACATTTCGACTGCATCCCCACACCAGCAAGTGCATCATCCTCCAACCACAACAGTGACAACTACCATACAGACAGGAGCCTGCTCCTCTAACAACAGCTTCAAAGGTAAAAACAAAGGATAAAAATATCTAATCAAATAAATGTGTGTTACTAACTTTTAAGTGTATTCTCCTGAACAGTATCTTAGTGCTGTGGTATTCAGGATCTGACCCCTAGCTCAAAACAAACTCTGTCTATTTTAACTGATAGACTGACTGGGCACACATCCCATAAAATAACAAGTCTGACAGAGTGACGTTATATCATTTTCCACTGAAATGATTACCATCTTCATACTTCACTTATTCTTAACATGATCTTCACAACCTCACAGTCCTCTTGCTAGACGTCTTGTTCTTATATATTGATAATTAACCAAGCATAAAACCTGTCCTTAAATTTTCTACAGAGAAAAAGTGGAAGGAGGTGAAAAGCTCATTAGTGATTAACAGAGCAAAAAGTGTCTCTTGCCTGCTCAGGTTGGTGAGGGAAATTCCACAGTATACTGTATAAACCTTAGTTAAAGGGAAGGTTCACCCCAAAATCAAATATACAAATTGTTCTTCTTCCCTGTAGTGCTATTTGTCCATCTGGATTGTTTTGGTGTAAGTTCCCAAAATTTGGATATATCGGACATAGAAATGTCTGCCTTCTCTTGAATATAATGGAACTTGCACTCGGCTGGTGGTGCTCCAAGCGCCAAAGAAAAACATTTGAAAAGTGTCTCTTTCCAGAAATTATGATCTGGTTAATCTGCAGACCTTTGAGCAGTTTCATATAGGAACTATTTTCTTTCTACTAAGCTACACCAGCCAATTAGATTACTGTGCAGGGGGAAGTGTGCATTTTTGTGCAGTGAGACGTAGACAGAAAATAGTTTCTGAAAGTGCTGGCACCAAGGTCTGTGGATTATTTTGAGTCATAATTTCTGGAAAGAGACATTGCTGTTGAGTGTGAGTTTTGGTGCTTTGAGCACCACAAGCCGGGTGCCATCTAGTTCCATTATATTCGAGACAGTGCGGACATCTCTGCAGCCGATATCTCAAAAACTCTTTAACTCACACCAAGATGGATAAATAGCACTACAAGTACAAAAATACGTGGTTTTGGTTTTGGGGTGAACTGTCCCTTTAAAGCAGACTAAATGTTTTGCATGTTGATTTGCATTTGTTATTTTTTTTCTGACAGCACTTTCATGTGTTCTGTGGATATTTTTTGAATGTGGAAAAAATGCTGTTATGCTGTAACCTTAATAAATTATCTCCCTTATGGTTATGTTGTTTATTGAATTGTGGGCTTGTGTCCAGCAGGTTGCTCCGTGCCTGGGCCTACAATGGAAGTATTTGGTCTGCCTGCTGCTGCTAACCTAACAGTGACCAGTAGTCCCATAACTGTTGTCACAGGCCAACAGTATACTGCAGGGCCATCAGCACCACATCCTCCAACACATCCACATAGTGTGCACATTCCCCACACTGATGCCAGGTGGGCAATATCAATAACAGTATGTTATGATGAGTGCACTAAATCTGAAGAGTGATACTAAAGTGAATAACAACAATCTGTTTCAGATCCTTACTGTCCAGAGAATCCCTGGCATCCACTACCTTAAGTCTGTTTGAAACACAGTCAGTGTTTAGTGGCAGACAGGACTGGCCATATGGCTACCGTGTGCTTCCTCCACTTGGTCTACCGCAGTGCTCCACCCAAGCCAGCGAGGGAGGTATGCAGCTCAGCCTTTCCCCTGGCACAGCCATGTCCGGCACGACCGTATCAGGTGGCACTAGCACCTCAGCCTCCCTGCCCTCGTACCTCTTTGCAGGTGATGGTGGAAGCCCTAGACAGTCTCGTGCTAAGAAGAGAGCTCTCTCCATGTCGCCTTTGTCGGATGTCATTGGTATTGATTTCAACTCCATCATACGCACTTCACCTACCTCACTTGTGGCTTATATCAATGGTTCCCGCAGCTCCCCTCACCCCACACTCTCACCTGTCCAGTCTGAAGGTTATGGTCACTTCCTGGGTGTGAGAGGCTGCTCCATCCCCCAGGGTCATCCCTACAGCATGCCAGGCTCTGCGCAGGCTCTTGCCCCGCAGACAGAGTGTGGACGTATGCAGTTGCTTGAAGAGGGAGGGGGTCTGGAGAGCCAGATGGCTAACATGGTGGTGGAGCAGCAGTGCCTCCCAGAGGAAGGAGGGGCACTGGAGACGACTTCAGAGAGCTGTAGCCAAACTACCAACAACCTGCTGCCACATCTATTGTTACAGCCAGCCCTGTTGACCACTATCCAAGAAGCTGCTACTCCACAGGGGCCTCCACCACCCTACCACTCACACCAGCACATCCACCTCACTAGACGTCACTGTAAAATAAAACCCCCTTCTCAGGACCCTCTCGCACAGGCTCCTACGGTTCCTCCCAGGCATGGAGTGAGCTTTTTACCCCAGGTCCCAATGCTGGAGGAAGAAGAAGGAGAGCTGGAGGACTATGGGTCCCACTGCTGTAGGTGGTTAAACTGTAGTGCAGTCTATGAGCAAAAGGAGGAACTGGTAAGACACATAGAAAAGTTACATGTGGACCAGCGGAAGGCTGAGGATTTCACATGCTACTGGGTGGGCTGTACACGCAACTTCAAACCCTTCAATGCCCGATACAAGCTTCTGATCCACATGAGGGTCCATTCAGGAGAGAAACCCAACAAGTGCACGGTACACCATGCAGACCACAGCTGTGTGTCTTCTCATGCAACTGAAGTCTATGCTTTATTTTCACACAGAAGATTCTGTATGCCTTCTTTCCTCCTAACAATACACTGATAGCACAGCTCAACCTGAATCAGATGCATATTGCTTTACTTATTTGTGAGAAGGCTGAGTTAATGCAGTCAAAGCAGGAACATGATGAATGTCAGGGGCTCACCGAGTTCAATACTCAGTGTTCCCTTCAATGCCACAGTATCTATTTGAAGGCTTTCAAGCCTCAGGCTGCAGGGAAAAAAGCCTTTTTAGGACAAATGCCTTCATGTGCTCTGTGTTTATGGCCAAGGTTTAGATCAAAAATATGGTCTCTCTCTCCTCTTAACTTTAGCCATGGGGTAATTAGCGGAGTTCTGTGATAATTGACATGGGAGTTAACTCAATTATGTAGTTATTAAATCAGCACAAAAGATGCCTAGCACTTTAGATCTGGCATGGCACCATGGCTCTCTAGAAGCTACTGGGCCTGTCAGCAGCAGGGGGTTTGCCAGGCCACCGTCTGACAAACTTGGCCATCGTTCTGGGAAGGTGATGCCCTGTAGTCTGGCTCTCTACAGGTCTGCATCATTGTGGCCAAAGAGTTGGCATTTATCCATGGGACTGATTATTGATGAACTAGTAGCTTTGTGTGGCCTGATTGATAGTTCTTTTAGATGTGTTGCAATTTAATGATGCCTCTTTAGTTTGGTTATTTGTTTTAAATGAAATGCGAGTCTAGAATATAGAAACAAGACTAGGCCAAAAGCTTTTGTCAGCATGCTAACATGCTGACAACAGCCAATGCGAAAATATAGGTTTAATGTTTATGAAGTGTGTTTGCCTGCTTTAATTTGCTAATTAGCACCAACACGAATTAGAAATGAGGCTTACAGCGGTATTTGGTTATAATCAAAAGTTTTGGTGCTATATGATATATGAGGGGATCACCAAAGTAATTACAATTCATCTGGAGGGAGCCATGGATGTCTCTACCAAATGTAACAACAATCCATCTAATAGCCATTGAGATATATCACTAAAAGGCAAAAATATAAACCTGCTGTTGATGCTTCAAGAAAAGTCAGGGGATTACCAAAGTCAAGAGGATGAATTGTCTGGGTTGCATGGCTATCTGTGCCAAATTCTGTACCAAACCATCTAGTCGATGTTGAGATATTTCACAGGATGAATTGAAAACCTTGACCTCCAAAAAGCCAAAAATGTCAACTCACTGGTGCAAGAGGAGAAGTCATAGGGCCACAGAAATTGATGGTATTCATCCTGTGGGGACTATAAATGTATGTGCTAAATTGCATGGCAACTTATCTAATAGTTTAGATATTTCAGTCTGGACCAAAGTGGTGGACCGACCTACCAACCTGCAGCCATCCATAGAGCCATGCTGCTAGCATGCTAAAAATTATGTATGGATTGTACTCCACTCCTAACTCTCTCCTTTGTCTTCTTCTCACTCCCACTGGGAAATTCTTGAGACGTTGATGAGTAATTGACAAACCACTGGCCAAACATGCTTCATGTCACTGCTTTTAACAAGTCAATTATTAACAACATGCATACCTGCAGTCGACCTTTTGTACCAAAATACTCACTTATTAGTTGAAGCACACTGTTGCCATGGGGCTGCAATCATTGGATGGGTCTATGTTCCATGTAATTATTCAATAATGAAGAAAGTATTCATGGTCACAACCCATTTCCAAAAACCGAACCAATATGAAGTGCCACTTGCGGTTTGTTTTACAGTAGTACAGGCTAACTTTGAATAAAGAGAGAAAAAGGCAACACTTATCATGGCAAAGCCTGTGCCTTTTAAATTTTAATAACATTTTAAATCTGTATGGATTTTCTTTAGGTCAAGGTCTAAACATTATGTCAAAAGTGTAGGCTTTTTTTCTCTTTACATAAACATTATCATAGTCCTGAGCATGAGTCTGCGCATGTGATCACTTCTACTCCCTCTGAGGTTGAACAGTAAGCAAAATAAATTCTACATATGAAAATCACAGAACAGTTAGAAGAGCTAAAAATACTTTAATATTTAGAGAAAGCTAACTAAATTATTCTCAGGTGAATCAACTGAAGCGTGATAAATGAAGTGCAAGCCAGCGTGCAGAACAATGAGGTAGCTCTTGTTACACAGTGAACATATAGGGCAGGCCCAGGCTTGTACCTGTCATTTGACAATCTGTTTAATGATGATTGAACAGTGAACAGTTTGTTAGCATATCCTTGACTCACCAGTCTATTTGCATCTGTCACTGTGACTTAAATATATGCAGTTTTAAAAGCAGAGTTTGAAACCCAAACAAGAGAATTCTACTGTCATTGTAAAAGAGCACATTAATTATGATTTTTGGACGATTTTGTATTTCATTTTGTGCTATTACCATTAGGCTAATTGCTCCTCAGGTAGGGGAGAAATGGCTTGGCTCTTTGGAATTATTAGCTTGTACATTTTGGCTGCCAGGTTTTCTACTACCACTAAATCAATTTCAGTTATTCTGACTGTGTTTTTAATTTTATGGTTATTTTTACCTGACTCAAAATATACTGAATGTTTTTGTAAAACAATAATTACCGCCAGTTAGCATAAATTATTGTCAAAGTTGGCCAAAATGTACTTCATCTACGTTCTCTCAGTATCCATGCTGTGATCAATCTGTGCATTTGCATAGAGTGAAAATAAAAAAAACATAGTTCCTTGTTAATCCACTCAATTTCCCAACACTTGTAGCAGCTTGTAATTCCATCCTCACTAATACCACTGAAGGCGGGCCTAATAACATTTCAGGTTCGACAACATTTTAAGCGTCATCCTTGACAATTGTTTGGAGGGAACTAACTTGATTTTGGCACCAGGAAATTATGCTTTAATACTGGAATACATTTTCAAATTATATTGTATATTATTGCATTAGTTAACAAATAATTTTCTTCCACTGAAACCTTATAAATGTAAACCAAAAAAATTTAGTTGCTGATAAAAAATTATGAATCCTAGCCTGGAGATTTGTAATTATTTAGTCTAATTTGAATAGTAAGAAATTACAATAATACAATAATTCCCTATTAGCTACAGCATATTGCAGCCATCTATTGATCCAAAATGCTTAACATCCCAAGGTCCCATAATGTCCTCTAAAATGTAGGTATGATACCAATTAGTGACAGTTTGTCACATATATTGTTTTAAATATGTGGATAGTTCATAAGGTTTTTTCTTAACACAGAAGCTAAAAATATACAGTATAAGGAAACAGGTGAAACAAAAAGAGCAAAAGGGTAGAAATATCACTGGTGAAACAGGGAAGAGTAAGTCCAGAGTGAATTGACCTCAGAGTGAGACTGGGCACTGGACAGACTCTGCTGGCACAGACTGCAGCTGTCATTGTTCAGCCAGGGCATGAGTACCTGCCAGGACCTGTCAGAAGCTGGCTGTAACACTGATCTACACTGAGGAGCCATGCTGCTTTCTTTTCAGCCCAAACGTCCCTCGCGACAAACTAAAAAGCCCTCTGCGCTTTATGAGAGCTTCATGAAACACAGAGAGAGAGAGTTACACAGTTTCCCGCCTCTGGCTAGTCTTGGAGTCTTGGCAGTATTTTAGCTTTATGCTGGTTCTCACTTGTCCGTTCACTTTGGTTGCGAGAGACTATTTATCTCTGGCTGTGCTGTTTTTTCTTGTGGCAGTCTAGCTTAGGGGTCTGTTGTTAATTATTTTATTTAAACTATATTTAGGATTGTGCATCCTCCAATAAAGGAGCATTTACTGTAATGAAATAGAATGGGAAAGAGTGCCTGAGTGAAGTGCGTGGGAAGAGGTTATGAGAAGCAATTCTCATTTTGTGCTACTCTGTTGTTTTGTTCAGTTTCTAATTTTGTCTGTTTGCTTTGCCAAAATGTTAAGAATTCTTCACATTCAGCACTGATCAATACCTTATGCTTTTATAATATTTCCAGAATACAACCACCATCCATTAAACATTCAAAAAAATTGGTTATAATATTAAATAAGTAAGTTTGGCTAAAAGTGACTTAAAGAAGAATTTTTATTTTCAAGTTCAACTGCAGTAACTGAATGGACTTTTGGGAATATATATTGTCAGGAAATAGCTTTGTAGTGATGGCAAGTATTTCTATCCAGGGGAATGTTATTAGTTAACTATTACAGGGAAGAAAAAAATCATTTTTAATTTGTGTTTGGCAGTGATGACTGTAAGGTATCAGTATGTGAGGAATCTAGCTTTAGAGGAAAAATAACAAATTTGGACATGGTCTGTGTGTTTTCTCCATAAGGCTTAGTAAAGACATTCCAAACCCCCATGAACAGGAAGAGGGAGAGTAAAGGCCTGGCCTTACAAAAGATAAGCTTTGATGATTCACATATTTTAGCAGTGAAGTCACCGTGGTCGCATGATACAGCAAAAAAGAGCTGTTTTGTTGGTTTATAGAGAATATTCTGGACTACTACTACTACTAGAAGTGACTTTACTTTTTCTCTAATTGATAGCCACAGACTGCTGTCAAGGTGATGCAAGATGAAGGATTCAAAACAAAAATACAGTGATGTGTTTATAAACACTGACCCCTGCTGGTGCAACACACAACTATCAGAAGTGTTTTACTTATAATATTATATTAGTATAATAGGTATAAACAATTCAAATGTATTTGAAACAGTGGGAGAGTTTAACATTGTTTTAATTCTTTTGAAATGTTAAACAGACTTTGCAAGAGTGTTGCAAATAAAACCCCTTAACAAACAGCAGCCTGGGTGGGTGGGGGGTTAGTACCTTTTGTGATGCCTGCAATTAAACCCTTACAAACTTACAGACAAAGTCTACATCATTTGAAAGCAAAAAGCATCATGATTCTATCTGTGTAAACTATTTAAAGATCCCAATATCACTGTGACAACAGTTCCTTATTTTGTAACTGAAGTGCAAACTACAAAACAGAACAGAAAAAAAACACACCACATTTGTGCCTCTGTATATTTGGCTAAGTATTATTTAGACTAGTTCTCATTTATTGATAGTAAACACCTAAGAGTTACCTGTCAGAAAAGAGCAGAGAGCAGTAACCATTTCATTCTGGGTATGTTATTTTCAGGATTATCTGCAGTTAAGGGACGGATCTCAAAAACTGAATATGATACATATTGCTCAGCAAATAAAGTATCAAACTCATTAGGCTATGTTGAATTACTAGTGTAGATCTGTGAAGTAGATATATGTTCCTCACAGTGAGTCCAACTAAGTTAGTAAAGTCCAATAATTACATCTTAACATCAACATCTAAAAGTGTGCTGACAAATACAAAGTCACAGTCAATTTTATCATCAAGTAAATTCACAAAATAAATGCAGTGTAGTAATAATGCACTGCGGTTGTATAATAATCAAACATATGAAGACAACTGATAAAGCTTGCTCACTACAGATAATAGCCAGGAGTTCCAGTTGTCCCTAGAGAACATAATCTTACCATTAAACTAAAATGCAACTGTCTCTCCCAAATATTTACCCCGCTTAGGGCTTTGCTGCTTTATAGATGCTTGCCTGTCAACCATGAAACTACTGTAGCATAGAGCAGTTAGGGTATATTGAGAGTCAGCTGAGACTAAATCATTTTTACATTCAAAGGGTTTTCTATATTTCCTCTTCGACTCCCTCCCACACACTGAGGTCAGTGTCTTCTAAACTTGTAGAGATTACATTGAATATTACACTGGATGGAGCCAACAGCCAAAAACATAAAGGACTTCAAATTAGTGGCCCCTAGGCCTGTTTTAAATGCAGGTAGTAGAAAATGCTAATCTGTGGTTACATGATGGGTTTGACTACTATTCTGTTTATATGCGATTACAGTTTGAAGGCTGCAAGAAGGCTTTCTCTCGGCTAGAAAATCTGAAGATCCACCTGCGTAGCCACACGGGGGAGAAACCCTATCTGTGTCAGCACCCAGGATGTCACAAGGCCTTCAGCAACTCAAGTGACAGAGCTAAACACCAGCGTACACACCTGGAAACAGTGAGTGGCAGCCTTGTAGTGATACGTGCAATTATGGATGGTATTTCGAAGCTTGTGTGTCTTTCTGTCTTTGCTTCTATGTGGAGTCTTATCATTTTTCCCTATGTCTGTGGTTGTACAGAAGCCATATACGTGCCAGGTGCCTGGCTGTGCAAAGCGTTATACTGATCCCAGCTCCTTGAGGAAACACGTGAAATCCCACTCTACAAGAGAACGACAGTTACGGAAGAAGGTATATACTGCTGTGCATGCTGTGCAACACAATTCACAGCTTTTAGCAGTTTGTTTTCTCTTTGAGAACAAATACTACTGAGAATGTATTTTACTGACAAACCAAGCGCACAACTCAATGAACGTGTAAAGTTTACTGACCGACAAAATATACTGGATTTGTAAAAGCTGGCTTGAGATTTTGCAGTTATAAATAACTTGCCACCTTGACCAGATCTCATTAGTGGTGATTGCAAATAGGCAGCATCACTTCCTCAACATTACAACCATGAAGGGGGAAAAAAAAGCTAACACATTTCACATGTCATTGTGCTTTCATTTGTCCTAATTAACTGACGGCACTGATAATGTACGATGTGCTCTCCATCCCACTCTGTCAAGTTAAGTTCTACAGCTTAAAAGAAAATGTGAAACTTACATCTAGGTTTGTATGCAGTCGGATGAAAATCAGTCAGTTTAGACAGCCACTTATGTGCTACTCTTCAGAGCTAGGTCACACAAAAAAATACACATAGTTATGTTTTTGTCATATTTTCCTGCTTTATTTTTCACTTAAGCCGACTCCATTGTTTCACATTATTGCACTGCAGTGCTGTTAAGATTTTTGCGTGTTTGATAGAGAATTATACTCTTTACCTCTTACTGAGGGTGATGTCACCATAGATACAGACAAAGAATGTGGGTAGTTACTAAAAAAAGTGACATTTTACAAAGTCTCCCACATGCACAACTTCTTTCATCTAAAATGCAAATAAATGTTTAATGTAATTGTCATTTGACTGATAAATGTTATATTAGTTTCTTACCAAGACCAATGCAAAATCTAACTTATATACATATAACAACCCTCATACGCATCCATTTGCTGTTTCTTGTCTCCACATTCTTGTCTGCAAATAACTCTGATGGAAGCAAACTAAAAAGCTATAATCCTTCAGATTTTCATCATAGTAAACCCAGTGTTTCATTCATTATGTATGTCTAGTATTTATTCTGTTATAGTCAATATATATATTCACACTGATTAGATACCTCTGTGTATAGTAGTTTGTATTGTCATTAGCCAAGTCCAAGTTTTCTCAGTTTTCCAGATTCCTTTTGAATTGATTTAAGATTGTTTTTTGATTAATTTGTCAGAGATTAATTCTTGGCTACAGGTTATAAAAAGAGATTTTTATGTCCATGTTCAGATCTATTTATCTTTTTCCTCAACAGTTGAAAACAAGAAGTGCTCAAGGTGACACAGATGAAGCATGATTATAAAATCAGATGTGTAAGACTCAAGAGGTTTTTAGTCATATCTGAATAAAGATATTTAGTCCACATCCACATAACAGAACTATAGAGTGTAGAACAACAACACAAAAAGGCAGAAGATGCTCATTACATGAGTAACATAAAATAATATTGTAGATAACACTATCTCTGTATTACCACTAATATAATGCAATGATTAAATGAAAATTCTACCAGAATCTCATCTTTTGCTATTCATCACTGTTTATGTTTATGTATGTCATTTCTCTAGTTGAAGTCCACTGATGGTGTGACCCAGGACACTCTGACAGACTGTTTAACCATCCACCCTCTGCAGCCTTGCCTTTCTCCTCTGGCAAGGATAGACAACAACTTGAACTCTTTCCCTGGTGCGTCTCATGAGTCATACTCTGGTATGTCGAAGCCTTCCCTCTTTGCATTCAAATGTTTGATATGAAAACTGATAATACTTAAGAATCCCCCTGCAACCATGTGCACATATTAGGTTTATGCATTAGATTGAGGCTTTGGTGGACAGCCCTGAAGTGTCTGTCATCCCTGTTCCTCAGCTGCTCCACAGGGACAAGACTCCTCCGGCAATCCTCACCTGGCTCTGTTGTGCTCCTTACAAGATGATTACAGGTACTGAGGATTTTTGTGTTATTGTGTTAGTTCTTTCTATTTGAAATTATATGAAATAATAAAAAAATATATATTTAAATTATGTTATTATTCATATATATTCTTGTATACATATATATACTTAATGTGACGGGAATTCCAAAATTTTTACTAAAAAAATTTAAATTTATACTGTGTTGAGCCTGCTAATATCAATTCATACGTAAAATAAAAACGTCTTCATGTTAATCTTTTTGAAATACTGTGAAATATAACCATGTGCAGCAACATAAGAGTCAACAGTTGGAGCAGTTAGTTTTTCCCAGCAAGCCAACTGGTATTTTCTTTTCATTTTGTCTTCCCATTGGCACAGTTTAACCATGACTGATTTAAATAAGTCTTTTTTTCTCCCTTTTGATGATCTGAAACAATGAACTTAAACATGGTTGTCATGGCTTCAAGTCTATAAGCTCATAATTACAATAATCAGATCAAAAGAAAGCACTATTTTGTACCCTGATAAAAGAGCCTAAACAGTTGTTTTTTTATTATTGTTTTTAGGGGGGGTGGGGGGTTTGTTGTGAGTGTGTGTGCTGCGGCTGGGAAAAGGCTTTACAGGTTGGAGATGACCAGCAATACATTTCCCTGGTCAATCCATAGGAAAACATCCCTTCATCTATACACTTCAAAGCATGTGATAAAGTATTTCTGTCGCTCTGAGCAGCCAGATGCTCATGGCTCCTCACTGGCTTTGATTGTTCTCATATCAGCGGTAGGCCAAAGCATTCACTGCAGGATTCCGGGTAGACAATTGGCCTGTGAAAGCAGACCTCGCCTTGCCTCATTGGTCTCAACCGCTGGTATTAGTGGATGCTATAGCCACCGACAAGAGCGGCTAAGGAATTCAATAAGTGAATCATAAAATCTAAAAAATACCATTTAAGGTCCAGTGGGAGAAGAGAGACGTTGTAATTACTTTTTTAGATGTTAAATCGATTGTAAAATCCTTGCTGCCATTTTCTGTACACTTTTCTTGGATTCCTTTTGAGTTCCCATTCAGTCCCTGTACACTGTCAGCAAACTCTGGCTTGCAAACGTGTTTCTTGGCCAAACCAGCAGGGGTGTCCGCTACCATGGCCACTGAACAATATTTAAATTTACTAGTTTAATCCTCTGTATATATTAATGAGTTAGATGAATCTAAACAAAATGCCATTGATTTTCTATAACAATTAGCAACAGAGGTGTAAAAATGAAAGTAATGATTTACTGCAATACAATCCAGGCTGAGAGAAAACAAATGTTTCAGTGAATTTAACAAGTCTTCCTTTTTTTTTAGCTGATTACACTAAAGACAGAAGAAGCAGTCTTGATCCACTATCTATAGAAAAGAGTGACAAAGGAACAAATTGTAGAGACTATGGAAAGATTGTGGAAAATGCTTTGAATGAGCTTGTGTAGTACAGGCTATAAGTGTATAGAGTAGAGACTGTAATACATCATAAAGTGCCCTTTAGAATGCTTCTTTTGCCGGTTATATAATTTGCCAAGCACAGAGAATCAATCTTGCGGTCGTGAACTCGGTAACTGAAACACCTGAGATGGCGTATTTCTTCAGTATTGTGCAGAAATTCTATATTTTATTGTAAATAGCAATATTATACATATGCTTTTAAATTCTGTTTAAATTTGCAGCAGAAGACAAACAACATGGAGTGCATTGCATTTCTCCATTGTTGAACCAGAATTATGCCATGCAGAAAATTAGGGGTTAAATCAGCTGTGCAGGAAGCCAGGAAGGGAGGCAGTAATTCTTTCCTCATTACCTGGATGAAGCAGAGATGGAAAAGTTTCAACTGAAAGAGAGAGAGCTTTCTGCATTCTTTTAAGTGGTTATTTTATGTGTCATGTTGTCCATCTCATCAAGTGAGTACAAGATTGCCTAAAGACAATCATATATGACAGTTGCCTGAGAAAACCCTGAGAAACACAATGACAGTTTCTCATGCAAATGGTTGTGGAACCGAGGCTTGCTGAATTCTACATCAGATTTACGCATAATGTGTGAAATTGTCACCTTGTCATTACCTCATGATGGATGGATTAATGCTTTATTTGCAGGCTAACTGATTATTGTGCCTTTGTGTCAGACGGGGGAATATATGGAATAGGACAAATGCAGTTGTTTATTCAAGTTCGCAAAAAATTTAAATTTAAGGCTGGTCAGAGGATGATGCAGTCTGTGACCTTGGATGTTTTTGATTTCTTTAGCATTGGACATCTCCGGTAAGTGGTTTAAAAACAGAGATTGGCAGCATTTAATGGTGTTTTTTTTTTTAAACATAGGTTGATGTCATTACACACAGCTTCATACAAATATTGTGTATTACTTATACATTGAATCATATACAACACCTGTAATACCTGTAGAATGTATGCATTTGCACTGAATTGCATTTCAGCACGGAAAGCTTACAGAATATAAAGTAATCCTTGCTTCCATTCAGTGGGTAATAATTTTTTATATGCAAGAAATATTTAGAAACCATTTTATATTTGAAATATCAACTCCTCTCAAAAGAAAATTGCATTGCTATTGTTTTGGAAATCATTACTGTATATGTATGATTGTATGAATGTTTTCTGCATGGTTCACAGAATACAAATAAGTAATGATTGTGGGGGATTTTATTTAATAATAAAAATATATATATTGTTATTTTTCTTAATTCCACAAGCAGAGTATTTACTTCAGTCTGAAATATTTCAGGTTTGTTGATCCTTCCCCTCACCAGCTCTTCCCCGTGGACCAGTGTGGGCCTTGCTCTTCCACCTGCCTCCAGCATCCTCCCAATGGGATGTCCCTGCAGAACAACCGAGATCTGAAGCACCCCAGCCAGCCTCCTGATCTAGCAGTTAAAAATCCAGGTACCCAGAGGTTTACAGTGTATTCTTGGGGTTTTTCAAATAGACGCAAGTTTCACATCTGAACAGCCTATTAGCAAATGTCTAAGGCTTGACAACCTATTTGAACAGATTTTCTCACATGCACATTAATCTGTGCTCTATATCTTTATGATATGTAGCAGGCAGCTGGTGATTTTTCTAGTTAGACAGAATCAGGTAGCTCCACTCTATGTACCTTTAAATAGATATCACTTCTTTTCCCCTCGGAGTTGACAGCCACAATGATGTTGACATGGTGTTCAGAAACACATGTTTTAGTTTTAACTGCTGAGATAAAGACAGGGTTTGAAAAGACAGAAAGGCACAATTTGTTACATTCATGAGGCCTAATGCTGTTGTTTTACTGGAATGTATAAATTAAGGAGAGAAGCTATAGAGTTGTTCTTTACAATAAATATAAATGGCTCTCTCATTTACCCCATAGAGCTCCCAGGGCAGATGAAGATGCTATATTCTCCTCCACAATATGGTGGGATCACAGCACAGACCAGCTCGAGTCACCTGATGCAAGATGATGCCTTTGGTGACAGCCTCCCTCCAGCAGTCAATAATCCCAATGGGGTTGCCAACTCACAAACAGCTCTTTCCTGCATTACAGGTAATGAAAATACAGTCTAACCAAAATTGCTCTAGGATGAGCACTTTATTGCCATCAGATTTCACAACTTTCGCATACATGCATCTGTGTATATCCATATATATGAGTGTGTGTGTGTGTGTGTGTGTGTGTGTGTGTGTGTGTGTGTGTGTGTGCATCTGTAGGATTTGATGTCCACAGCCGAGCAGACATTAAGAATGTGGCTCCTAAACAAGATTTGCATGGAGAGGATTTCTTCAGTGTCGTGGACCACTGCACAAGCCAGGTCTCCTGCATCTACACAGAGGGATGATATCACTCAGTTGCCGGTTTTGTTCCTTTGCACTGTTTTATGTCCCCATTCCATTTAAATAAAATGGTCAATAGGAAGAATACCTCAGACGGCACCACAACCTGGCGGATGCTTCATTTAGCCAAACAAAATATTTGAATATTTGATGACAGAACAATCTAAGACACTGCTCCCTCCGTTAGAAAACAGTGAAGAAATTGAATCTTAAATTCTCAGTGCAAGTTTCTCTCTTCAACTAAATCTCTATAAATGAATCAACACTCTGGCTTCTGCCCCCATAATCAATGTACAGTAGCCTACGGGATTTTAATGTTTACTTTCTAGTTTTTTTTTTTTTTACAGCTTGTGTATAACATGTAGTAAGTACTTGAAGTAGTTTCTGGTGACATTTTGCACAATATTCAACACTGCAATCAAAGCAAAGTATGCAAGGGATAATTTATTATAAGGTTTTTCTTAGAACCATGGCTTTGTAACTATAGTAACAAGACAGCCTTACCATTTCACTGTAATGTTCATAGACATAACCTGTTGTTTGAATATAGTAATATGCTTTGAGTGATCATGGGGCGGATTTATGTTGGCATCCCAGTTATTTACATGTTTTAGTTAATTACTGCAAATGACTTTTCGCTTCATATTGCAGTTGACTTTCGAAAAACATGACCTAGTGCTGTACATTTTTGTACCTGTTTTCCATTTCAGTTCATTTCCATATGGTATGAAAATTAACCTTTGGAGACTTTAAAACCTGCTTGAAATAAGTCAACTATCATAGTGATTATAGCTGTTTTTATTTTTGCCAGTTATGTTATTGTTGCATTTTAATGCAGTGCAGACATCTCAATCTAATTTGCACTTTCAGCTGTATTACCATGCAATGATAACAGTGTGAGGATTTTAAAAAACTGTAAAAAATTCTAAAGCAAGCTTTGAAAAATTATCAGCAGCAATGTAAAGTATGCACTGATTTGTACTAAATGGGCTAAAATATGCAGAAACGCTGCTATTGTGCTTTAACTTTTGAATATATTCTGAATGTATCAAGAAAAAGAAGTAAATCATTTGTACCCTTGTTTGTTATTTGTTTTTAATTTCTTTAAAGCTCACCACACAGATAACAGATACAAGGTTACAGTTCCAACACCCCCCTTCTATCAGTTGTTCTGTCACTTAAGAGCAAGGCCAAGGATTATATCTTTGCGGCTCTCAGAAATAATGCCACAAATAGTTAGTGTGGTTACTTTGTGTGGATTTCTAAAATTTGTAATGCCTTTGTTGATACTTTAAAACCCAGCAGCTTTGCACACTATAAACCACATTTTCCCAGGCAAAGATAAACTAATTTAATTGTTCAGGTCAGTATCTATGTATGGAGTCAGTATCTCTATCTCTATATTTGCATTAAAGACAACAAAACGTGAAAAGGCACAACAGAACAACTGCTTCGTGGTAGCATTATAAATAACTTAGTGCAAGTTCTTAGAACAAACTAACGTAAATCACAGAATTAATTATCAACCACAGCTGTATACCTGAACACCATGAAAAGCCACAGGTCCAGTAGGCACCAGTCTTCACAGCAGCGTATTTTTCTTGTTTGAAATTGAAAGGACAAACTGTATTACTTGAAAATAATTCTTTTAGCAAAAGAGTGTCATGCTTCAGATGGGGGTTTCAGTAGTTGCTTAGCAACAACAACAGCTTGTCCAAAAAGCATCTGTTTAGTACTGCTTACCAAAAAAAGTGTTGCGAGTGGACACAGGTGGTTGGTTAAGCTTTGTATGCAGTAGGATGCCTCTTAACAATGCTGGCTTTGTTTGGTCACCTTTCCCAATTAAAAAGTTCTGAATGATTTTAGCCTTACTTGTGCTATGTGGTAAAAACTTGTAGCACCTGAGTAGCATGCTTTGTATTTAGTAATACGTAGATATCTGCCGCAATTATCTGTCTACCAATATCCACCACTTTTGCACAATGTATGAAAATGACACGTGTTGCAATAATTTGAGGTTCAAATATTGTCAATAATTGCTTGTCAACTCCGGTTTTGTAAAACTATTTATTGTTTGCTCTGCTATGTCAGAAAAACAAGGCTTAGGCTGAGAATCAAACAAGGAGCAAAAGCCCTGAGGCAGCTAACACGATCAGCTAACACCTACAATGATAACATTTAATTGTTCAGGTAGAAAGATGCATTCATTAGGAGGGGTTGACTTTCCAATAACAAATTAGGACAGTGGGAATAACTGCAAAATAAAACATGATCCTCCCTCCTCCACAAATGGTGGGTTAAAAGAAAAAGAAGTCCAGTTTTCATTTGGGCAAAGTTTTCTGCAGTCTGCTCATTCTCAAATCTGAGGAACTAGAAATGGCTGGAACATGTTTGGACAAGTGAGATCTATTACAATCCTTTGTCATTTACATATTTCTGAGGAGGATTATACATGTCCAAATGGATTATGGCATACTTATGTATATAAAACACCTAAAACACTGTAATGGTATTAATTGCTTATTTTATTCAATTGTGCCTCATTTTCTGAACTAAAAAGTGAATGTCAAGAGAAACATCTCCATGGCAAACTGAACTGTTCATTATATTGAAAGAGAAATTAAAATGCAACACGTAGATGTTGCTAAGGCTGATTTTGGGTTAACACGGTAGCTTTAGGAGCACATTTTACTCTTTATAGCAGGATTTGATGATAGGCCTATAACTTGTCTTCTTCAGAATCTAACAATGCACAAATATAGACGTACAGCAGAACATTCAGTCAACCTAAAAAGAAGCACAAACATCAGGAATAATCATCTGTATATGCATAATCATAATCACAACAGTATGAAAATAAAGTAATACAAAAATGATCTCATTATGATTGATTAGGTGTTTAAAGCTTGCATCAGCTGAGGTCAAACAAAAGCGTTTTAAGGAACTTGCAGACTTGTAGACGCTTGTTTTACAAACAGGCCCACAGGCATTGCCCTAATTTAAACCCATTCTTGATGTACTGAAATTTACCCGACTAAACGCATGGGTTTGGATGAAATGGCCATCCTTGTAACACATTCCCAATATACTCCAAATACATATGTATATCGGTGTGATCTTATTTCCGTTAAGACTGTATTAAGGGCGCTTTAATCTCCTCCCACCTGACTGGAAAGGTTGCGCGCTCCCGGTGAGTTTTATAGCAACTGTTGCCCAGTGAGGCAGCGCCATAGTCACCGTAGTCCTGGCGACTGTAACCCACCAACAACAACCTCTCGCTCCATCATTACCACCTCCTCCACCATCCTCATCTCATCAACCAGTCCACCGCTCAGGTTTGAATACATTTTTTACTATATTAGCCCGAATTTAAGTCCCTTCTCGTTTCACGGGATAATTGTATGAACGTGATATTAATGCTGTGGTTTATGTTTTTGTCTGCTGCTGAGTGAAGGCTCGGTGAATAGCTGGGGTAGTTTGCTAGCGAGGGTGTTTCTTTGTGACGTGGTAGCCTGCTTGCTAACGTTGCCTGTAGATACCCACAGCTGTGAGAGGTCCTGCTCGCTAGCAGAAGCTAACTATAGCCTCTCTCACAGGGTGCTTGGTGTCTAAAACTGGCCCAAGTGTGGTCAGTTAGGCACAAAACGGGTTTTCGGTGTAACTTATTTGTCTAAACTTACCACGCTGAGTGGTAGCATAGGTCTGGGCTAGTCACTGATGCTAGCTGGTCAGCTGGAGCAGGAGCAGGTGTCTGTTGTTGCTAGGTTGCTAACGCCAGCGCTGCCTTCTTACAATGCCTGTTGGTGTCCAATATTTTGGCTAATGTTACGGTAATATTGCAAGTGTGTGCCTCGGGTGGTTCAAATGTTGTTGATCGTACAAAATCACAAACGTCGATCTGCAATGGAGAGAACTGGGCTAGATTTCCATATACTAACTGCTATTGACAATAGCTAAGCCATTACTTTCCCTTTTGTCTTAGGGAGCAAGATAGCTTCGCTAGCTTTCCATCTGCCCTCTTTGTGGCATCAGATGGCTATGATAAGCTATCTGATAATACAAGGCTAAGTTTTGCAGTGGTCAGCTTTTGAGGGAGAAAATAAACACCTGCCCGATTATCATTTAAATATCTTAATTTTACTACCCATTTTATCAGGAATCATTTCGGTTTTCTGCAATCTGTAACTGGGCTGGTAACGTCAAGATGTATTTTTACCCCTTCTGCAATACAGGTATACTCCAGAATATTGACTAACAGTAAAAAGATTACATTTTGGTATTTTCTGTTGTATTTGTGCGTGTATTTTCCTGGGGTGCAAGAATAGGGAAGGAGAAGGGGTGTACTCAGTCCAGCACTGGAGAGGGGATGTCTAGTCGATAGTTAACAGCCTAATATTGTGCCAGATTGATTTTAGGCTCCCTTGAATTTGGTAAAAAAAAATATGCAATATAGGCTAAATTCCCTTTCCTCATGACAGATTATAGTAAACTTGCATTTTAGGATTCCTTAATCCTGTGGGTGATTCATATTAGTAGAGACTTGGTTTCTTAATGTTGCATCACAATTATTCTTGGGTCCATTGGGTCTCCTGTGCAGCTGCGACCTTTGATTCCCGTTAGGTTACAGAACAGGTGTGTGTGTGTGTGTGTGTGTTTGGAGAGGTGGGTGGACGACAGGTGTACCTCTAGTATTGGTGGGGCTCCTGACCATATAGCGCCATCTGTCTGAGCCCACCAAAAAAGTATTAAGCCGTAAACAAATGTTTTGATTGTCCATCGCTATCCCTAGAATTTGGGATGTTAGCTGTGAACTATTTATCTGTAACTACTCATGTAGTAAGTCCAGATGTGAAGAAGATCTGTCATTGATATGCAAGCGATGGAGCCAGAGCAATTCAAACCAATTCATCAAAATGCTAAACCTAATTTTTTTACACATGCGGTAGATGAAGCCAAAAATAAGGTAAATATATTGATTTATTGGCATATACAACCCAAAATAGGTCAGGCACAGACACCCTTCCCAACACACACAAAACAGGATGTTGGGAACTGCTAGTTATCAGATCATGTTACCACTTACCTGTAGTCCGGTAGCACAGAAATAGTACCATGCCACCTGCTGCCTGGATCCTGTTACATTTCCAATCACTTAAAGAGGGGCTGATTAATTCAATTATTCAGTCATTAATTTTCATGGCTTAGCAGAATACAGCATGTTTGGTTTGTTATTTTGCCCAGCCTGACAGAAATAATGTATATAGTTGATGAAATGGGAGACTTAAAGGTCCTTGTTTTTTCCTTCCTAAACCCACATCTGGTAATTAGGATGAACGGGGTACATTTCTACTCGCTTTGGTCAGTTATGTTATGATGCTTCAAGAGATTTTGGTACATTTAACATTCTGTTTCCAGTGGTCCTGTCATGACCTAAAATCCGATTAAACTTGGGAGTACTAGCTTTGTTGTTGTTGTTGTTGTTGTTTCTCTTCTTTATTTTATTTATGTACTTTTTTGCCCAACTAACAGTATGTCATAAATTGATGCAATGTTTTGACATCAGAATGAACATCAGTAGTCCTTATATATGTAAACTAACTCCTAAACAAACACAGCACTTTGCATACCCCCCCCCCACACACACACACACACACACACACACACTCACACTTCAACTACCAATTATGTCCTCTGTCCACCTGTTTTCCTGCTGTACTAGCACTTGATCATGCTTCCGTCTTGCCTTGGTTTGCGTGTTTTGTGTGTGAGCGGGAGTGATTTTGTGTGTGGCATACTTTTCAATCTTGTTTAACAGCTTGTGTTTCTTTACTTGGTGCATCAGACACCACCTTTATCATACATGATCATTAGAGAGGCAAATTATGGTTCTGTGTATTTTCTGGTAGCTGCGACTGTGAACCTTGCACTCTTTACTCTTTGTTGCTTGTAATGTTAGCAAGAGGAATTGAGGGGAGAAAACGCAGGGCAAAATGTTGCCCTCCTTGGTGGCTTTTGTTCCTCTGTGTCTTTGTAGGGCTTGCACTTGCTCAGTGGAGCACAGTATTTAAGTGGGCCACAAGGGAGTGCCTGAATGGTGAGGCAGGAGGTGTGTTAGTGTGCGTGCGTGCGTGTGTGTGTGTGTGTGTGTGTGTGTTTGTGGAGGGGGTTGGGGTGAGGCAACAAGAGTGTGTTGTGATGCAGGGGCTCCTTTCCTCGATTAGGTGGGCTCAGTTGGGGCCATGTACTTTAGCTTTCACACTGCACTGTGGAATATAAGTCTATATTCTACTCCCATCACAAGTCCTTTTTTTAGCATTGGGATATAGTAAGCTGAAGGCTGCGGGTTGACATTTTTATCACTTTGCTAGCCTGCGTCCAATGGCTTTTACGCTTCAGGGTAAAGGAGTTGCTTGTGTGTCGAAGTATCTTAATCATACTTGTAATCAAGTTTGTCATTTTTTTTGTGAATTAATTGTCATAGTTTATAATGTGTTGTTCGAAATCGCAGAATATAAATATTTGAACTGGTCCTGGATAGTATCTGCCAAACTGCAGCCTGTCTATCAACAGCCTGCTGACATTGTCTGACAGTGATAGTATATACACGTATCCCCTCCCCAAGGTGTTGAAAATAGTCATGCTGAAAGCAGAAGGCTTTGCATTAATGAGTTTCAGTGCCCCTGTATGTTTAAAGAAATGCATATTTTTCTTGGTGCTTTACTATTTCTCATACTCTCATTCTGCATCAAGAAAGACTGACTCAACTTTGCAGTCAAACTTTGAGTCACCACAACACGAATAAATTGATAGCCTTCATCCCAACAAACAGGCCTGTATGATCTTGAAGATAAAGGGAAGGGGCAGGCTGTCCCTGGAGAGAGTCGAAGCTGTTAGGAGACCCAGCTTAATTAACCAAGAGAGGCTTGTTCATGGAAACTGTGATGGGGAGGAGGTGGCCTTCCCCTGGAAGGAATGGGTGATGGTAGCCATACTATTATTAACTCACAAACACAGGTTCACCATCAGTGTCTCTTCACACTCTTGGTAGGCCTCGGTTAGTGAGTACTGTAGACACGTCTCCGATGCACAGTATAGCTCTTTTATTAGTAGCAATGACTCTATCTGGAAAAGCCATTCATTTTATTACATAAGAATAACACAACTTGCCTTTTGTTATTAGTACTGACCCATGACTTCCAATCTCAAGTAATGTTAAACCTGTTAAAGTGTGGACTGAAAGAGCAACGAGAAGCAGCATCTATTTGGAGTTTGTTAAATATTAACTTGTTTTATGGCTGTGAACATGGAGACAAGACCATGTGTCACTGATGCATGAGGCTCTCAGTACATTGAGTACCACAAGGCAGAAACAGGTGCTTGGATAGAGTTGCTCTTGAGCAGCTTTAGTAGCATTGATTTGGGTAAAACAGACAAGGGTCTGAGGTGAAACCTCATGTTTTCTATTATGCCTAGATTAAAATCTCATTTAGGCATGTAACCAAACCATGTGGATGATTATTGGATTTTTTTTCCCTTAACATGCTTCATGATAAATTTGTCTTTTTTTGTAAATGCAACATGTTCACACATGTTACATGATACGGTTTATACTTGTTGAGCTTTTAGAAGTTGATGTAACTGATTTTATGACTATTTCAGTTCACCAGCAGACAAAAATGAGTAACCTATGTATGTTCTTTTGCCTATTGTAAATTATAAGCCTGTTTTTCAACAACAACCAGTAGAACGCAAACCTGTACTTGTTAAATGACTCTTTGCTTATGTGAGTTCTCGATCAATGATCCGTTAACACTGATGTATTGTTGTGTATATGAGTTGTAAAGTTGCTTTACGAGTCCGACATGTAAGTTTTTAGTGATTTTGATCATTATTCATCTACAATAAGACTGTTTTCTCTGTCTTATTTAGGCGCCATGCAGACCCCTGAAGCAGGCGCTGACTCCACCTCCACTGTCCCTCTTCAGACCACTGTGCCTGTCCAGCCTACTGGCTCCACCCAGCAGGTGCCTGTCCAGCAACAGGTATTGTTTGTTTGTGTGTATTTATGTCTGAATGTTTTTGCGTAAGTGTGCATACTGTATGTACATATTCATGTGCAAGTCTGGGTTTTTCATTGTAATATGTCAGTTAAGTCAAATAAATAATGAATTTGCAACTTCTGCAATTTGTCTTGCCAGGCCCAGACTGTTCAACAGGTTCAGCATGTTTACCCAGCACAGGTGCAGTATGTGGAGGAAAACAGTGGCGTCTACACCAATGGCAACATGTGAGTCAGTCTGTTACCCAGCTCTGCTCTCATACCACTCCACAAATATTAGCGCTACGTCTCTACAGCCTGTTCTTGCTCCTCTTAAGTCTCTTCACACCATCATTCATGTCACAAGCACATGATGTTTGTGGGAGTGCCTTTTTTTTTGATTGTTTTCTTTTCTGAGGGCTGTGCAGTCGTGTGTTTGATTAGGCTCAGTCACCTGAACATGACCAGAAGTAGGCATGTCTTTTAAGTGCTGATGCTACGCCAGGGTCCCCTGGGTCTCAGGAATGGGGTTACATACCACTAACAAGCCCAAGCTCTGTTTGTCCTACTGTGATACTCACATATTCGTCATCAGTGCACGTGCAGGAACAAACATACATACTGTATGACCTACTGTTGGAAACATGTAATGGTCACCGTTAGGGCTTAGAAACCAAAACAACCGTAGTATCAGACTTGTGTCAACATAATATTTCAGTTTCAATATCGCCCAAATCACACTTTGACTGTGCCTACACAAACAATAAAATGCAAATGTACCGTATCATTTTTACCAGTAATATAGGCTTCGTAGGTGTCTTGCATAATTAAGAAACCATACTTGATTTAAAAATAAAAATAACTTAAATAAACAAGAAATCACAAAAATAAATAACACAGCAAATTTGAAAGGTGCAATAAAAGTACTTAATAATTGGGACTATTTTTTTCTCTTTTATTTTTATTTCTTATCGGTTTGGGCACATTGACTGACTGCTAACCTCTCCTCTGAACAGAAGAACCTACTCGTACTCAGAACCGCAGCTGTATAGCCAGAACAGTGGAGGGAGCTACTTTGACACACAGGGCAGCTCATCGCAAGTGTCCACTGTGGTCACATCTCATGGCATGACCAACAACGGAGGAGGGGGCAGTGGAGGAATGAACATGAATCTGGCAGGGGGTCAGGTAATCAGCAGCAGTCCAGGGGCTTACATCATGGACAACGCTGGACCCCACCCTGTCACCCAGACTGCACGAGCTTCCCCAGCTACTGTAAGTGCATAGCACCCACTAATTGGGCCCCTCACCTGCCTTTGCCTGCCTGCTCTTGTGTGTTTGCCGATAGACCATTTGACCAGAGTATGTAGTGACTTTGCAGTAACTTCTGCCTCTTCCCTGTTTAGAGCCACACAGCAATTAGTACTACATATTGATCTAAGCACTAGTTTGATCCAAAATGTAAGACGCTTTTGTCTTTTTGTATCATGTTTTTTAAAATGTCAGTGTGCGCACATACTAGACATAATTATGTCATGTTATATAGGAACAGCTTTGTGTGCACCTCCTCTATGATCCATGGTGTGTTTTATCTCTGGTGATGATGTACACAGTGCTCAGCGTAGGCTGAGCCTGATATTTAATGTTCAACTAATGCAGGGCTTTGTTTCCAAACCACCGATTTTGTCTGTCTGTTATTCCCACTCTTTGGTGTAGAAGGAAGGAGAGGCTAAAACCTGAGAGACAAGTGTAGTAAGGAGGGGAGGATGGTCTGGGAATGTGCCTCTGGAGAACCACAGCTCCACAGACTCACCCACTCCTCAGAGTGCAGAGTCTGAATGCCCCATTTGGCATTTCCCTATAGTCCACCTTCATGACCCTTTCTGTCAGGAATTTAGCAATGATGCTTGTTGACTGACATTAAGTTATGTGGATGTCAGTCATGGCAGAGAGTAAAACATCTAATAACGGCTATGCAAAGGAGAAATGCTGTTTTTTTTTTCGTTTTTTTTTTCTTATCTCATCAAAATGTGTCCAGGGGTGCAAGGGCATTTTAACAGCTTAAGCTAATTACCAGCTCATCCTTGTCTATCCTAAGTGATGTACTTACATGAAGGTGCCCCAAAAATGGGCAGTATCTAATACCGAGGGAATGTGGTGTTCAACCACAGTTATTTGCTCAATACATTCACATATTTTAATAATTTCACATGAGATGTATCAAAAGCAGTGAGTGATGACACGTAGACAACCATTGCACTACGCAGTCTCACTCACTTTCAGCAGAGTTTTGATGAGTATTGGTTCAAACGACACCAATGAAATTACATTGAAGAACAACACTAATTTGTGTAAAACAACTAACAAGACTTTTCCCCGTTAAGCATGAACCAGCTTTTTGGAATAACTCTGCGCAGGTGTTACAAAAACCTAGTCTTTTGTTTGTATAATAGTCTGGCTTTTTCTCTGCACATGATAGTTGTTTCTAAGTGGATCAGTGCTGGTGGAATTTGAAGAGTTATGTCCCTGTTTCTCAGCTAGGCAAAGAGAGACAGACAGTCCCGCTCTGCTTGGGTTTAGTAGCGCTTGCTTTGGGATCCTTTCTAGATTCTCTTTATTTTTGCTAGTGGCCACTAACGTGTCTACATCAACTCCTTATTTTATTCTTGCTTTTGTTTTTATTTCCCCCTCTTACATTTTGTTGTCCTGTGCTTGATGGTTTATCAGATTGAAATGGCGATTGAGACGCTCCAAAAATCTGAGGGTTTATCCAGTCAGAGAAGCTCGCTGCTCAACAGCCATGTAAGTTGCTTTTATGAATGCTTGCCCTCGCTTTACCTTGACTTTTGCTGGACTCACTCTCTTGCTCTTCTGCCTTTCTCAACTCTGTATACATATGAGTTTGATTTGGTGCTTGCTATTTTTGTTGCCGGTTTTAATTGTTACAGTTGCTTTAAATTCACTGGCTGCTATAGAAATGCTTTTGCAGAGGTGTGATGACCGACTCTCCCTCTGAGGTCTTTCCAGATAGTTTTCGTGGACCAGCGTGTGAATCTAAAAAAGCATGTATTCCTTTGTAGCTCCAGTGGCTGTTGGACAATTACGAGACAGCAGAGGGCGTAAGTCTACCACGATCCACCCTCTACAATCATTATCTGCGCCACTGCCAGGAGCAGAAACTGGACCCTGTAAATGCTGCCTCTTTTGGCAAACTCATCCGCTCCATCTTCATGGGACTCCGTACAAGGCGCCTTGGGACAAGGTTACCTTTTTTTTTTAAGACTTTCTTTTTCTTAAGTATGGAAAAGTTATCACTTTTGGAGATTCAAGATTTTCATCTAATGGCAGTATGCTTGCCTGGCTCTTCGTACTGTTGTCATTCATCTAAACCCTGATCTACTAAAAGCCTCATCGGTTCTTCTCTTCTGTCCCTCACATTGAGACTCTGTGTCACTTTTGGTTTTTTGTCTTGCAGAGGGAACTCCAAATATCATTACTATGGTATACGAGTAAAACCAGACTCTCCACTCAATAGACTCCAAGAGGACATGCAGTATATGGCCCTCAGACAGCAACCTGTTCAGCAGAAACAGAGGTAACACAGGCAACTAAGGATGCATACAGACATCTAGTACTTGCTGTGACACAAATCAGAGTTTTTATAGACACTAAGGTGAGCCATTTGATTTCAGGTTCAAGCCGGTGCAGAAGTTTGATGCTTGCTCTGGGGAGAATTACACAGGTGGAGGCCAGCCCCATCCTGGTGCAGCAGAGCAGACAGTCATTGCACAGAGCCAACACCACCAGCAGTTCCTAGGTTAGCTGCTTTTCTCTTTATCTGAATGGGATGTGCTGAAATACATTGGAAATTGTGTTTTTCAGGGTTATTCTACAGTGGTGAATCATTTTTTTTGTTCTTTTGCCCCAACAGATGCATCGCGGGCACTCCCTGACTTTGTAGAGCTGGACCTGGGACAGAGCAATACAGAGAACATCAGCCCAGAGGATGTGAAAGCTCTCCAGTCCCTTTACAGAGAGCACTGTGAGGTTAGATGAAGTGCATTATGTTTGTACTCACTACAAAGTCACAATGGCACACAAGTGCAATTCATAGGGGGAACAGGGGGTCGCGTCCCTCTTCAGTGCTCAATGAAAGCTAAGTAATGCCTTTCAATATTGTAGAATTCATTGATGCATCATCAATATGGACTATGCAGGCATATTGATCTGCCTGGATTTCACCACCCCCTAGATCTATTCCACTTATTTTCTATTAAGAGTTCTGTTTCTGCTAGAACTGAGTCCATGTTTTGTTTCTTTTTATGTGTATATTTCTGAGTCTGAACTAGTCATTTGCTTTCATGATAGGTACTGGCAATTTTATTTAAACTATCTTCATGAAAAAAAGGCTAATAAGACTGAAAATACTGAATAAAGTTTTACAAAATTTTAAAAAGAACATCTATTTAAAGTTTGGCTGGATTCAGAGCATGGAAACTTTGGGAAAGGTCATGTGTGCTTATGGTGGCAGAGATTTGTAAATGCCAGCTGCTGGCATTTTGGAACAGAATTTTCTCTTCATCTTGTGAAGTTTTCAATCACAGCTCTCCTAATGTTGGAAAAAAACAGGGATCAGGTCATCCACAGGTAATGGCCAAGCCCTTATGGTCAGCTGTCTCTTTTAGAAAGTGGTTCCACTGAAAAATATTCACTGTTTTCGTTTGTTCTCTGCTTTTGTTTCAGGCTATTCTGGATGTGGTTGTCAACCTCCAGTTCAGTCTTATTGAGAAGCTGTGGCAGACATTCTGGCGTTATTCTCCCCCTGACTCTGTAGAGGGTGCCACTGTAACAGAAAACAGGTGTGGTCAAGCTAATGATAATGTACAGTGTTTGATTTTTATATCTTAGATGAAGTCTTTCAGTGTTTTGCCACCAGAACTGATTGAATCAGTATACATTTGTACTTAATTCATTTTAGGATCATCTGAAAATTCAAAAGCATCTGTCTAAGTCTGGTTTGTTCATTCCTCAGCAGCATAAGTGAGATTGAAGCGCGGCTCCCCCGTTCACAGCTATTGGTGCTGTGCAGAAACGAGGCTGTACTCAAATGGATGAGCACCTGTGACCATCTAATGTACCAGGCCCTTGTGGAGATCCTCATTCCTGATGTCCTGAGACCCATTCCCAGTGAGCCACAGTCACAGACGCTTCTCATGTTTACTTGTTTGTTGTGTTAATGCTTGTAATATCACATCACGTCATTAACTCGCTCTTGTTGTTTTTGTCTTTTTGTTTTCTTTGTTTTTTGTTTTTCAGGTGCCTTGACTCAAGCCATTCGCAACTTTGCCAAAAGCCTGGAAGGTTGGCTCAATAATGCCATGAATGCCATTTCACAGAGAATGATCCAGACCAAGGTACACTTACAGCATTCATACAGGATTTGTTAAAACGCTACACATAAATAATGTATATATATTAGTGTTACAATTAACAGCTGCAAGTTATATTTGTACTATCAGTTTTGAAAGGTATGTATCCTTACAGTTGCTAACACCTGGGCTTCTGTGTTCGCTCTTTTCACAGATTGCCGCTGTTAGTGCCTTTGCGCAAACACTGCGCAGATACACATCTCTGAACCACCTGGCTCAAGCGGCGCGTGCTGTGTTGCAAAACACGTCACAAATCAACCAGATGCTGAGTGATCTCAACCGTGTTGACTTTGCCAACGTACAGGTCAGAACAGCTCTTTGTGTTTGTATACTCAACAGTACTGCTTTTCTTATGTGTACTATACTCTTCCCTTCTCTATTATCCACTCTGCTTTCACTGTACAAGTGTGAACCTCCAGTTCTTTCTCTGTGTTGCTGTATAGGAGCAGGCATCGTGGGTGTGCCAGTGTGAGGAGGGAGTGGTTCAGCACTTGGAGCAGGACTTCAAGGCCACACTACAGCAGCAAAGTTCTCTGGAGCAATGGGCAGCCTGGCTGGAGAATGTGGTCACTCAGGTGCTCAAGCCTTACGAGCACCGGCCCAGCTTTCCCAGAGCAGCTCGACAGTTCCTGCTCAAGTGGTCCTTCTACAGGTCTGGGGAAAAAAACAACCATACTGAGACACGTCTGTGAGTGTGCCGCATTGTTTTGAAGAGCCACAACCCTGTTTTGAACATAACAATGTTTTCTTAATTTGTCCGCAGTTCTATGGTGATCAGGGACCTGACCCTGCGCAGTGCTGCCAGCTTTGGTTCCTTCCACCTGATCCGTCTGCTGTATGATGAGTACATGTTTTACCTAGTGGAGCATCGTGTGGCCCAAGCTACTGGAGAGACACCTATTGGTGTAATGGGCGAGGTATAACTGTGTACAATGTGTATCTCTTTTAGATCAGAAAAAAACCATCATGAACCCCTCTGATTATAATGTTTTTCTCTGTTTTCAGTTCGACAGCCTCAACACCCTGTCCCTCACTAACATTGATAAAGGTATGTAACAAAATGTATAAAGCGTCGTAGATTGAGAACTCGGCCGGTATTCTAGAAAAGAGATCCTTTTGTTGACAACTGGTGTGACTGTAGTTAATTACGGTATCCAACTCAAAGACCTGTTTTTACAACCAGTTAAATTCAGTGGTCATTTAGGTCAGTGGCGGGCAGTTGAATATGTGGTTAATGAGCTGAGACTGATGAGAAGTTTTATGCAAAGACTGACATTTTTGGCCTAATTACAATAGATTGTGATAGCACACACTGGCATATTTGCCTTCTTTTGATACCATTGCATTGATGTATTTGTGTTTGCATACTTTTTACTCTTTTCTTTTATTTATGTATAATTGGAAATGCCTTAATCATGGAAAAACTTTAAAAAAGTTGAATTGACAAAATTGTACCAGTAGCAGCAGTGCAGGAAACAGGAGAGTTTTCAGCTAAACGTCAGTGAAGTTCAGTCCTAACAACTTCACGGTTGCCTGGAGTCTGTACATGTACTGTTTCATACATGTGTCGCATTCTCCCGTCTAGATGAAACGAGTGGGATGGACAGCGACTTAGAAGAGGACACGGAGGAGTCCGGGGAACCTCTTGCCAAGCGAGAGAAGTCGGAGCATGAGGTGATCCAGGTGATCCAGGTTGGGGCGCTAGAGGACGGGTCCCACCCTGTGGTGGGTGTCGTCCAGCCAGGTGTCCTCCACTCGCTCCCCCAGCCCCCGCAGGACCACACTGAGCACATCCTAACCCCCTCTGCTGGTACTCCCACCATCCGCCACTGCAGCGCCACAGGCAACACCTACGCCTCCGTTTGAGGGTCTGAGGGCATGGCTAACCTTGTCTGGCCTATTTTTGCTATCTCACTCTCCACATATCTTTCTCTCTGTAAGTTTAGATGTTTCCGTCTTTTTCATGCATTGTCTCCGTCTGCACTTGTGTGGACACGCTCTCCTCCTCCCGATCTAGCCCGGTCGATGGGGGAGTGCTGAAATGATGATACTCTGGCCGAGATGTGCTGTCCGTGTCTGACTGCTTAGATTCTGGATGTGTCGTCATCCCATAAGTCTGTGCTCTATCACAATGCAGCAGCTGGAGGAGAAGGACTAATTTGACCCGTTAAATGTTTCCTGCCTAGGTGCCACTTAACGCCTCTGTCTATACGGACGGGTTTTATCTTGAAGGAAAATTAAACTCCTTCAAACTACTGATGTCTCAGAGCTCAAATCCATGTCACTAGTCCCAGCGGAGCAAAGTCATTGTTTGACTCAAGACCTTCGTCTATTGTAAATAGTTTTACTATACTTTCAATTGGTATTACCCAAAACTCATGGTGCTATCATTGTGTTTGGTTTTATTTTTAATTTCCACTTATCCCTCCTAATTTAAGTATGATTTATGTCAACATGCATTCCAACTGCTGATAAACGTTTGGCTGAACAAAATATTTTGAGTATTGTATGTAGCTAAAAAAACAAAGGGATGACTTTCTATGTGTGTATGACATTTGAAAAAGAATCTTGGGGCAGTTTTGTCTGTTCTGTTTGAAAATGATATGGTAGCCACCCACTGATAATAACCATTTATAGATTTTAGCCACAGAAAAAGAAACCCCTAAAGAAATATCTGTGCTGCTACTTGTGTATATAGAAACAAGATTGAGAAGACTGGCTGTACAAAACCACTTCCTCAATGCTAGCTTTTCTATGCACTCTGTGCATAACGCTTGCCTTTTGTTCATTTTAGATGCTCTGTAGTGACGAGCTGTAATCTTGAAAACAATTTTACTGGTCATGTTTTTTGCAGTTTTCTTTTTGTCTTAATGAAATTTCTTAAGTTCACGAAGGACCAAAACCAAACCACCTAGAGGAAGCTGAGAGTGAGCCATTTGGGTCACCCAAGAGCGGTTTCCTGTCCCACAGTGCCATGTTGCAGAGCAGAAGGAATGTCAGGGATTTAATGTACCTCGGCTTTATCATAGTGCCTTATCCTTAAATGCAGCTGTCCTTGTAGTCCTGACTGTGTGCTGTAGAGAGCCCACAGCCCCTCTGCATTGTCCCAGCCACAGATTTGGCTTTCTGGTGACTCGTGGCTGGATTTGGGCTGGCTCATCAGTGTTGAGACCAAGGGATGCAGGCGCAGGCACAGACACACCTGTTGTTTTCTCTGGATCAGCTCTACTAAGCTTATTACTTATCTGAATCATGGTCTTTAGCCTTGCTCCTGCCCTCACTCTGCCCTCTTGAGGCCTATTCTTGCATTAGCCTTTGTTATTGGGTGAAGTGTGTGTGTGTGTGTTTGTGTGTGTGAACAAGGATGCATAGGTCTGCACTGTGTTTTTATGTGCATGTGTACATGTGTATATAAGCCTGTGCGTCTGCGTGTGTGTGTGTGTCTGCGTGCTTGTATGTATGTGTTGGAACACATCCATCAGTCACCCTACCTCAAACCAGTGGTGCCAGCCCTTTGACGCGTGCAGCACAGTCACCAAACCTTATTGCACACACACCACTGTACTGCACAAATCTCAACGCGATAGAGAAAAACTGCATTGCTTTTCTCTCACCTCTGATACATTTTCACTTCAGTTTTTAGCCCATAAAATGCTTTCATCCTTTGTTCCCTGTTTAAAGATCATCTTTGTACAGTGGACCAAAAGTAGATATTTTGTGATATTCAAAGAGATATATAGATATATATATGTATAGTATATATAATGATGATACACTACATATATTTGTTGCTTTTTATGTGGTTGCTTTGATTGTTTATATGTGATCGTTTCTTTTGGTAGCTCCTCTGTAATTAGTTCATAGACTGTGAAATGGGAACGGCATGGGGACTAACTTCTGATTCATTAGACTACATCTATACTTGAACTGTTATAGCCTTCTATGTTGTGGAGAATATTGAGATTAATCCTCTAAATAGGAACATTTTGTTACTAAAATTATTTTTTGTTATTGTTTTTTTTTTCATGCTTGTCGAAATGGTCTGCACCATTTCTCTGCAGAAATGTTTATTTATTGATATTTATTGTTTTGGTTTTGGTTTAGATGCTTACCCATACGACATATTATAATTATTATAATACTGATGAGGAATCATGAATTATACCACTACTAAAGAACAGACCTACTGTACAGGAGGACCAGAAAGTTTTTTTTTTTTTTTTTTACCTTTTTGTAAGTCATGTATGTAGGGTTGATGAAGGTTTTTTAAAAAATGGTTGGCACTGTATTTGCTGTTTTCACAGTCCTTTTTTAGGTTCTATCACTAGTCCAAGAATTCATTTAGATTCTAAAAATACACACAGGATCTTTGCCATTTGTTTTTGGTTGTGCCTGTGTAGATAGAAAACATGCTCAGCAGTAAAGGAGGGTGGGCAAATGCAAATACTGCGCATCATGTAGGTTACTGGGTCAGTGGAATCTCACAGATGTTTCGTTAAATAAGTTCCACAACACTGAGGAATCTGAAAAGTAAGTTCTGGCAACCTCAAGACACATTCCTCACTGATTAAACCTATGGTACACATCCCATACTGTATCCTTACCCTCATCCTGCTGGCTTGAAATGTCTGACTTACCAGATCTTGGAATGGAGCGCACACTAATCTGGCTTTCTTATTATGTTGCTTAAGGACAGTAAGAAAAGTCTGCAAGAAAAGGTCAAAGAACTTTAAGTAGCTGGAAGTCAAAGGCCTGAGGCATTTTGTTTACATCAGTCTGTGACTATAATGAGCTTGCATGATAGATTGCTCCCTGACTCTTGGTATTGAACTGTCGAATGCAAGTTAAGAGAACACAGAGCAAGTAATGTAAATGTCCAATAAAAAAAATTAATGGATTTAAAACTTAAGTCCTAGATCATTTCTTGTACTTTCTCTAGAGCCAAACATAAATCTGTGTTCTCATAGGAACTACCCCATCCCCAGAAGCTCCCTTGACTAAGTGAAACACTTATGGAAATTTTGAGAATGTAGTTGTAAAAAGTGACAGGGTTCTGTCTGTGAAAATTGTAAATCTGGGTAGTGTGTACCAGTTAGAAATGAAGGTTTTGCAGGATACTTTTTACCTTTTCTCTCACTGAATTATTATTTTATTTTCTTGTAACATGTGAATCTCAGCTCCCTTGTCATATAAACTACAACACTGAAGATGTAAACTTGTATTATTTTGTGCCTGAAGTGAAAATGAATTATAAAATGTTTTCTTTAAATCTTAATTGTGTCCTTTCTGGTCTTGCACGACTACCATGTGCTGCTAGAAACAGTTTTTTGTTAATTTCTTTTTTTTTTTGTCCGTTTTTACTTTTACATTACATGCTGGACTGCATCTCAAAGCCTGCCTGGTCTACCCTGGACTGATGCTAATGCTGCCAACACAACAGTAACTTTATTTCTCGGTGTCTTTTCAATTGAGAAGCAAGATTGTTTTTGTAACAGCTGTTTGCAAATGAGCCCGTTTCCAACCAGAAAATGTTTGAAAAAAAAAAAAAAGAAAGAAGAAAGGAAAAAAAAAGACATAAGCTATTCCTTAACTTGTCATAGGAGCGAATGCTAAGAGATGCCTCTTTACCTGGACAAAATGGCAGCTTCACTGACCCATAGCAGACTCCAGTGCCTTTAATTTCGCCCCGGCCAGAGCAGATGGCCTGGGTGACTATTGGGTCTCTGGTGGGCTCCAGATCGAGGCTATCAGAGCAGACATTTCATTGCACAGGTGCTGCCACTAAGAAGACACCAGAGTTGAGGAAGCATAAAGACCTGTCCTCAGACTGGACTATTTATTATTTACTGGATGTGACGCCACACACACATACACACACACACCACACACTCATACTTAGTAGTTTACACATGGTAGATTATCTGCATATGGCTTTTTATTGTATAGAACTGGTAAATGAACAAGGAGTTACTGTAAGTAAAATGCTCTCTTGTTTTGTTTTCTCATGATCGTGATTTCTTTTGTCAAATGATATTTTCTGAATGCTGTGACCTGTTTGAGATTTGTATTTGGATGTTTTCAAGTGCCATTTGACAGTCTAGTGAGTCGTGGCCATCTGTAGCACGCTCTAATGCAAGCACAAGCATTTGGCAGTGGCATTTGGGGAAGGTTTTTATTTTGATTCACCCTAGACAAAAATATGTATATATCAAAAACTGAAAAGTATATTTATTTGTGTCCTAATTATTTGATTTGTTCTTTTGGTGAACATTTTATCTGTTATGTTGGCTAAAGTGCTTTTGTGATTTCTTTTTCCAATTTTTTTTTGAGGAGGGGTGGGGATAATGTATAGTATCTGATATAATATAAACACAAATTTCATGTGACTTTCTTTTTGTGTGCCATTAAGTTTTCTTCTCAAATTGGCAAGCAAACCAATGCGTGTAGGGTGATTTGTATTGTGTATTTTACATAAAAAACGAGGACAATTGGGGGACTTTTATATTTATAAAGACATTATCATTTAGTGTGTCGTATTGATGAATATAGAAACTATTAAAGACACATGTAGTTTGGTTTTCTGAATATTTCAGATCTCAGCTCAGGCTAGCTTCTTAGTGTTGTTTTCTTAAAATTTGTGACTTGTCTTTGCAGTAATAAACGTTTTCTTGTTGAAAATCAGTGTCCTTTCTCATAATTTTGACATGCCACCTTTAATCAAATTTAAAATTAAGACTATTTCACAATTCGGCACATTAGCCTGTTAAATTTTATTCAACCATATTCATACATATAAACACCAATATCATTCAAACTCTATGTATTCAGAATGTATAACACGATTGTTAAGATCCAGATGAGCATGAACTTGCACTTTTTCAAAATTGTACAGCATTCTTTTTCATCATTTTGAATTATAAGTGGTTCATTACTGGAAAGGTAGCGCAAGAGTATAAAATACTGCAACAGCTGTAGGTAAACTGAGCTCCAAATACCAAAATATTGTTCGATCAAAAGCTCTTAGCAAAAGCTAGAAAAATTCAGCTGATGATTAAATCCAGGCTCTTACAAGCAACATAACACTGAAATGACTGCAGTCTGATAACCTTTTTACTTTTCATAGGGTATATTTGGCATCAATATGGCTTAAACTTCCTCTCACAGTTTATTCCTTGCTTCCTTCGCTCAGCTGTTATCTAGAATATGTCATCCAAGTAATAATCAAATTAAAAAGGGTTGCAGTGAGCCATCTTAAAGTGATACTACCCAAAATGTAGCTTTTGACTATCAAAGATTCACAGCCTGTAGGTTTTAAAGGGGGTTGTCGTCCTACACAGACGAGATTTAAAATTTTATGAACCACAACTCAGTATGTTTTTTTTCAGTATGGTCATTGCTTTGTCAAAATAGAACAAAACACACCTTTCAAACCTGCTGTGATTGATGCTGAAAACAATGATTTTGGGCAGACACACAACAAAAGTTTTCATGGATCTCACCAGGTCATTAGTGAGAAAAACTATTCTAAGAGATCATATGGATACTTAAGTAACCACACACGACACTACAAAATATGAAAATTGATAAAGTGCTAATGGACACTGTGGGCAACTAATCAAAAAATGATAATTACAAATAAGATTACGCGGATGTGTTATAACCTTTTCTTTCGATTATTTCAGTTAAATTTTGGGTGTGAAAACATCGGCCTTGACTGGTGCTAGAACAGTTTTATGGTGTTGAAAAAGGAGCTGAGGTCAGCTAAAATGGGCTTTTCAAATGCTCTTAACAACATTTAAAAACAACTACAGAAAAGGGGAATATAAATCGCAATGTCAAACAAGGACTGTCAGCATTAAAAAATACTGAAGACTACATCTTACAAAAACATGAGTAATGAAGAACATGATTTTACATAAATGTTGTGATCTGTGAGGCGGGAGGGGGGCTCATTGCATGAAGTGATGTAAGCACCGGAGAGCCAGTGAAGGAGGACTGGACTGGCAGTGTACTGTCACATTTAGCATGTTCAGACAAGATGCAACAACATCCAATTCGAGGCGCCACATTGTGCTCAGTTTAACTGGTTTTCAGCCAAATAGTTTGCCCTCTTACCAAACGAAAGGAATTTTGTTCATTAGTTATGGGGGCTCTATGCATTAAAATCATAAAATATGGAAATGTTCACACTTAAAAAAGACCACAGCTGAGCATAAATCATCCCTTGTTTCACACTCTACACTTTGTGATGCATTTTGTTTTGTATAGCACTAAGGCTATCTAAATGCATCTTTTAATTTAGGTGTGGACGCTTTAATTCACATTAGTTTTGCAAGGATTTTGTCAGCTTGAGATTTTAGAGACACACAGCCTTGTCCACTTCATGCTGTTACGCAATTCCAATCGGTGAACAATGTCAGAATACTGGCTTCCATTTTTTATGTGCATCCTCTTGGCAGCATGTTTCCAGAGTCCTGCAACTCCTCCCAGTGTGACTCACATGTTCCTCCAGCTGTTGTTTGGAAGTCGCTGAACTTACAGACCTGGACTCAGTATACTGGCAACTGCCTGCAGCAATGGATTTAAAAGCAGTGTGTTTGGAGTATACTGCCGGCCTTCAAGTCCTTGTTCCTACAACCTACTCAGTATCCCTGTCGTTGCAGTCCTACTTCGGCACTCAAGGCCTGTAGGTGAAGTGGTCTGTTAAAAGAACAGTCTGATTATTCTTTGCATTTGTACTGTTTTTTGTACAGTTCGTGTCTTTTAATTCAGTCAAGAGGCTGAGGGTCAGCTATGGGCATGGTGTGCAGAACTTCATCCAGCAGCTGTAGAGCTCGATGTAAATGGATCTCAATCCAGCAGGGTGTCTCCTTGATGCTTTGCCGTGGGTAGTCGGGCCCCCAGCCCTTCACAAAGCTCATCCGCAGGATGCACAGCCTGCGCAGGTCATCAACCCCAATGCCTGCAGCAGCAGACAAACCTGCAGGACAATTACAGGCAGCAACTTTTAGATCGATATGTGGCACTATAGGCCAAACCTTGCAGACATATGTTAGCTAAGTTACTGCAGTAAAAGTTGGAACATATAATGAGTAGACACAGTTAAGTAAAAAAAAGTAATAATGCTATACGCACTTTGATCAGGCTAGACATTTTACTGCATGTGAGCTTAAGCCCACACAGCATACTCACTGTGTAAATGTTAACCTGTAATGATGTTAGCTATGTGGAAATTTATTTCATCATCTGCAACATGAAAAAAACATTTTATAAAGTGGTTTGAAGTACAATGACAGATAAAGCAAAGCAAACTGCTTGGTATGTATTCCAATTCATTGAGATAAGCTGAAAGGGGAGCAGTGTATAGTACAGTTACAATTCTTCCACCTCAGCTGTATTTTTGAACTAACACAGCACTGAAGTGTGAATAAATACATTTTAATATCAATACATTACGAAACACGACAGAAGGTTTTGGGTTTTTTTTTTTTTAAGATACATGAATTTCCCTCTATAATGTTCTGAAACGCAAAGTATGGCCCATTTGTGCGTTCATGCTTGCTGAACACTTTTGGATGTTTGCTTAGGACTAGATTTATTGTAATGTTTATTTTGTTGGCCAATGATCCAATTTCTGTTAACAAACACATGTCACAAAGCCAAGAAACATCCACTTTCTAACACCAAAGGGAAATACTGCATTATGGCTGGTCTGGGTCTGTTCATAATAATACACTTGTTGAAGGTTAAGTGTTGTGGTAAGCGCAGCAGTAAGAACACTCACTGATGGCAGGGGCGATACCTCCCACAGAGCCTGGCCCGGGAATGTTCCCGGCCACCGCTGCTGCCTGGGCTGCAGCTGCTGCCTGAGCTGTCGCTGCCTGCTGCTGCATCTGCCTGTGGCACTGACGCAAGTCAAACACCTGGCAGGGGACAAGACAAACGCTGAAATCTGATGATAAGACAAGATACGGAATGTACACTCGAGCATTTCACTGACTACAAATATTGTGAGGTTTTATGTTAACCGGTCAGAGTTGGATTAATTTTTTATTAATTTTTTTTTTTTTTTTTTTTTATTTAATACAGTAGGGTTGCAGTAGGACTACTCTATATTTATTAATGGTCTTTAGTGCTTTTAGGTTGTAAAAAGTCCTCTTCACACATAAATGTTATTTTGTATGAAGGTTCTACAAAAAGGGTAATTTTTTAAACATGGAATACAAAACGCTGTACAATGTATCAATATGAAAGGGGAAGAAAAAAAAAAAAAAAAAAAAAAATAAAAAAACAAATTAAAAAAAAAAAAAGAAATTAATTTAAAAATTTTTTAAAAATTAAAAAAAAAAATTTTTTCGAGGGCCCAAAGAAAAACAGGCTCCCAAAATATTATAGCCCAATTGCACCATTGTGGTTCAATAATAGGTTCAGTTAATGGAAAACCCATTAACATGCAACATCAACAAAATAATTTAATAATTAAATCAATTTTTCTTTTGGGGCCAAATCTATTTCAAATGTAAATAATACACTTGTCTGTCTGAATTATACTGTTTACTCACATTAGAGGCAATAGCATTATGACTGGATTATTGGTGTGCATGTAAATGTAGCCAGTGTCAAGAAGAAAGCAAATTTGTGAGTTTCTGATAACACCTACTGTTTCTGCTTTTCTCTTTATGACCATTGTACTGCAATCGCACCTTGATGTAAGCGCTGGGGTAGATCTTATGAACTGCATCACCCGGGGCACGTCCAGCTTCTCGATCCAGGTAATAGCTCTGCACAAAAACTGCATGATCGCTCAAACAGCGCACCCAGACGTCTCCTTCACCTTTGCACTCCAGCTGCACGCCTTTGCCAATGTGGAGCCTAAGGATGGAAAGGAGGGGAAGAGACTGGTAAACACAGTCAGAGAAGTGAGACATTACACACACTTTGCATTACTGTCAATCACTTCATCATACCTAGAAAGATAAATTAAACATGAATTGCTTGAATGAACTATATGATGATACTTCTCCAAGGATGTGGCAAAGTACCTGGCTCTGTCTATGTTCTCCGTCCTGTGGACATTGCTCAGCTGGCCCAAGCAGAAGCGATCCCCTCCCGATGGATCCACGTAGCCATCCACAGTCACTATCGGACATGTGGATGGCACCTTAAATGTCTCCCCAACTTGCACATCCATTTCAAAGTACGCAATGGAGCACCAGTATTCTGGAGCTGGAACAAAACAAACAAAGCAACCTCATGTCATATGGCTTCCACTGATTATGTTAAATATTTGGATTGCCTTCCATCTGCACCCTGATACTCACCAGGGTGATTGGATATGGGGGGCTGGAATGCAATTTCATTGGTTACAGGCCCTGCAAGAACATGTCGACATTTTTTCTCAAGATTTGACATATTATTCAGAAATGAAGCACAGACCATGCAGTAATGGCACTGAAAATAACAAGATTTCATGAAATGTCAGGGGTGGAGGCTGAGTTTTAACACCTATTGCTAGTCTTCACTTCAGCCACAGTAAAACATTTAATTAATTTAGCTTGTTAGATATTCATAAGTGTATAACGTCTTAATATATCTGAACATAAAAAAAATCTGCAGGAGAAAACAAAAATCTATGCCATCTATGTCTTGGTGCTGCTGCTATCACATTTACATATTTTTCAAATCAACTTTTACATCTGGTATATGCCCTTCCCTAGTGAATTCCCTTAATATGGAAATCAACTTAGGAGGTCCTATCAATTAAAAGAGGCGACAGTGGTGTCTTTAATCAATCAGCCTACATCTGAGCTGTCCTGTCCTGGAATCAGTGGTGAACTAACAGCTCTGTTCCTTCCTAGAAGTTAATGATGTCCTCCAGCCACAGTAGTCAATACTAAGCTAAATAACTAATTAACAGAGCTCATTATTCTAATAGCATATTATCTCCAGCCTCTCGAAAGAGGAAATAGACTCATGAATTTAATAGATGTTCACATCTTTAAGTTGTTTGAAACGATATGGACTATTTTTAAGGTTTTTATGTGGTCGCTCACAGTAATGCCCTGTGTGAGGCATGGGTGGATGATGCTGTAGATGCCCGTTCTGATGTTGAGGCACTGCAGGGGTGAAGCTGTTGTTTCTGCTCCAGTTGGTGTTAGGATCTGTAAATACAATATTGAAAACAGTTGTGTTGCCAGATTCGTACCAACTTGAAGTCTATGCAAGAGATAAGATCTTTAAGCTATACACTGAATAGATGTTTGTTGCATTAAAAGTAACTTAGGATTGTATAAGGACACAAAATTAATACTTTTACAGAATATTTTCTAATACTTGATAGCATTACTTTATGTCACAGAGTGTATCTTCAATTATATTAAGCATATATTTGAAGTCTCTGATTAGTGTCTCACTTGAGGGTCCAGCACTGATGGTGGAGAAAGCGGAGGTTGAAGCTGAACTGCTGCCCTCCAATGGGGGTAGTAGAGCAGGACTGCTGAAGGTCTCCTGTGGACCGGGCCTTGAGGGGGGATGCTGGATAGTCTGCAGGTGGCTTTCGGAGCTTGAGTGAGATTGCTGGTTGTCATAGTCATACTCATCCTTCACCAAACGCTGACCTACGTGAAGACAGCAGAGTAAAAAAAAAAAAATGATGGACCTCCTACAAAATCTTCAACGAGCAAAGAAGAAAACTCTGGCACCTACTTACCTGAAGGGGAAATTGTCAGGTCTGATAAATCTGCAGAAACATTGAAAAAGAGCAGATATATCACTCAATCAGTAACGTTAAACAATGCGATCTAGTCGAGACTGACAAACGTGATCTTTTTCTTACCAATGCATGGAGAGACAACCCTCTCGTAATGGTATGGGTTGACACAAACATTGTCACATTTCAGGTCAAAGGCATACTGGCAATATTTCACATGTTTTAATTCATTCTTGTGAAGATCAGGCCATCGCCACAGTCGGGCATAGACGACATGGGGGAAACCTTTACGCCCCGCAACCTAAGGCAAACAGTGGAAGATCTAATGAGATAGGTAGTGTTGCTGGTGCATCTCTCACAATGTGTCCTACAATTACAAGTAGTGTAACACTAACCCAACTTGGTACTGTATGCCTGATACTATACCTGTAGGCGTCCATCCAGAGTTCGCTGTATGGTTACGCACTTGCTAGGATGAGCTCCATTCGTTGTGATGGCTGTGATAAGGGAATCCAGCTCATCTTTCTTCTCCTTCAGCTTCTTGACAAGACTTTCAATAGCGCGCTTGGCAAAGCTTTCACTCTCTCCTCCCTGTCGGTGGCACATCAGGCTATGCACAATGCTGAGGCAGGCATCATTACTTGTGGGAGTGTTCGTGATTGACATTTTGCTCCTTAGGTCTCAACCTTGGGGAGGCTTTCCAGTTGTATCCTCTATAACTTTACCAGCAGAAGTGTCAGGGTGAGAGAACTGTTTGTCCTGCCCTGAGCTTGGCAACCTAAAACAGAAAGAGCACTGCCTTATGACCGAGAGTTAAGATGGGCGTATGCCAACCAAACTATCACATTACATAAAATAGCATTCAGTGTACAATCTGTGTATCACTTAATGTCAGGTGTAGGAAGATAATGGATAATGATGTTCAGCCCTATTTGAAGTCAATCTAACGTTACCTGGCTTAAACTGACAGTAAAGTAACACTAACGCCAATAGTAATAGTGGAGTGGTGGAGTTTACAGTAACTCTCAAAACCTCTACAGATAAATATTTCAGGTTGTCTCCCATTTAATACTCCGTGAACATTCCCAGTTTAATGTGACTTGTGTTACAGTACCGCTAACTTTTGCTTTAAGCGTACATTACAAATGCACAGCTACTGCATTAAAACTCACAGAAACTCAAAACCCCAAACTAAGTTTTCTAATTTTCTACTCTGGGTTTATTAAATTAAGATTTACATTAAGTGAACATTAGGTTAGCATTTTCACAGCAACCGTTGCTAACGTTAGCCCCGATGGGTACCAGAGCTAATAAACACAGGTAACAATATCTCAGTAGTATGCAACCCAACCCGAATTACACTGCCCAGATATTACTAGCGACTAATCAAAATAACACATATGTTTAGAAAAAGTACTATTGTTTAATAGCATTAAGTTAAGTGAGATAGCATTGCCCAGTTAATGTTGAGTGGCTCTGTAGGCTATCACCAAACCTACAGTAAATACAGCTAGCGTTAAGAAAGCATCCTATCGTTAGCTGAATCAAACACACACTGATTTGTGGACTTACTGTGATTTCCCTGCGCGGTAATTTAGCGGTAGTCCCAATGGTGGACGATGATAAGTGGGTGGCTTTGTCTACCTAAATGTTGATACGATATCTAGCAATAACGATATTATGGCTAGCCTGCTAGCACATACGCTAACAGCCTCTGCTTCATCAACTTCACGCTAGCTCGCTAACCTTCCTCTAAATGTCCAAAATCCACTTCCTCACGAATGTTACAATATCACATTAGCTAAACAAACACTTGTTTATTTGTTGGCCGTATTATACTAAACTGTAATATATAACGTTATATATATATTATAAGCTAACAACAACACGTTTACTGGTTAGCTGGCCACGAAAATAAACCAAAAAAATCCTCTCCACCCACAACTGTACAACTGAGTATGCACACAATGTGTGACAGGCGTGGCGCTTGTGTTTGTAAACGTATCTGGAAAAGATAGAATAACATTAAAAACACCTACTCTGCTTTTAAGCTCATGCCAATATATCACTATTTCCCTGTAAGGAACCAGTTAAAGTATTGTTGAGTATTTGTCTCGCTGTGTTCTGGGCTACTTGTGTGCTAATTTGAGGGTGGGTGCTCCAGTATGCATGAAAATATATGTTTTTTTCACTACAGTTCATCTGAGTTTATTAAAAATTGCCATGGTTTGATTTAGTCGTGAACAGGGAAGTAAATCAAAACAATCAAAATGTCTAAATCCCATTAAATAATGACCAATCAGGGCTGGATTACCAACTGGGATAAAGTGTGCAACAGTTAATTGGCCCCAGACCCTCAGTCTGAGAATGAATCAATCTATTTGTATGGCCAGTATTTCACTGTGGGTTGGCTGAAAGCTGCAATGTGTAGTCTGCTGTGTGAACTGTGCCTGGTGGGTACTTAAAGATGACAGGGTATGTGCTACATACTCAAAGCGTTGGAGTAATTGGGGAGGCATTAAGAGCCCACTGCCCTTTATTGCCCCAAGGCCACAGAGCAAGTCAATATGACCACGACAATCACATGCTGAACTAGCTTTAACTTTATAGCTTTTAGATGTATTCCATTTTCTGGACATCTTGTATAATGGAACACAATTAGATGGGTCAATTATAGATACAACAAAATGTCAAAATTACAGTAATATAAATATACAATCAACAGGACAGCCATGAAATGCAGTCACATTAATGTTTCCTCCCCATTCTCCTCTCATAAAAATCTATGTTACATACACTAAATTGGCAACAGTGATACACAGTGATTACAATAAGAGTCAAAAGAGAGATATCACAAAACCCCTACCTGTGGGATGCTGGAACTAAACTCTTACTGAAAAGCTTTACAGATAATCATACATCACTTATAAAGTACTATTTTAGAACATTTACAAATCTTTTTTATACATGTCAAAATATGGCGTGTCACCAGAGGGTTATCGACATAGAAATAAGTTGGTTATAATACTAGTTCATATTTTCTGGGTGCATGAAAGTGTCTTCTCAGTTTTCATAACCTTAACAAGACTTCCTCATATTACATTAAACTCAACTTGCAGGCAGTTGTAGTAAAGCAGCCCTCTAACCCTCTTTTATGTTGTGGTGATTTTGTAATATAAAATCTCCCCCTTGTGGTTATAATAGAGCATGACATTAAGGCATTAAAAACAGTCCCCTGTCCAAATTTCGCACACTCTCTCTTCCATATCTCCCAATGAGATTAACCATGTGATTTAAAGTTGGCCACCCATGAACAACAATAGCTTTGTTGCTAAAAAAAAAGTGACGAACAAAGCTGCCATCACATGAACCTGCTGAAATGTGTTGTTGACATGGATCCCTTTTCCAGACCATGCAGACGCTTGGTAAAGGAACTGATACATTATGAAAAAGCAGCTTTTGAAATGCAGTTTAATGGATCCTTTCTTCAACCGTCATTATGGTGAGCTTTACCTGTCCCTAGATTTTTCTGCCTTTGAGGAAACAATAACCCAGATGATCAGATATAGCATGAACATACCATTTGTACACAGATATTAAGCACCATTTTAAAAGCAGCTGTTTCGGTGTGAAGTGTAAATTAAGGTTTTGGAGAACCAATCAAATTTTGTTTATGTATTTCATAAAAAAAAACATTTACAGTAGGAAAATAAACAGAAAGATATGTAATGTAGTTAGCTATTTTAGAGGAGTAATGTAATGTAGTAATTCATTTTTACTTAAGCTTTTTTTAAACAGTGGGTGTATAAAATTAAAGCCAGTACAAAAGAACATGATGAACTGTCAAGAACACATATTGAATATAGTGAAGAGTGTTGAAGCTGACAAAACAAACAGAAAATCAACATATATTACCGCACATTAATTCAGGGGTGCAAACAACCTACCCAGTAGCCACTTTACACCAATTCTTTAAGACCTGTCTGATGAAGTGAGAGTTATGTTTTGGACTGGTGTGGACTTCTTCAAAAGAGATTTTTGGACAGCAGATGAGAGTCTTCAAACTTTTTCATAAAGGACAAAATCAAATACTGTAGAAACAATATGTCAATTTTGGGAGACAGAACACACACCAATTTTTATAGTTATCAGCATAATTTTCACCTGCCTAGAGCAGCTCCCACAGTCTGCATATTTTTTAGTATTTTGTTACATTTGCTATATTATTTTAATATATTTAGGAGAGAATGCTGTTTTTTTGTCAAAAAGAAAATATCAATCATGCGGGTCTTGGCTTTATAATGAAATTAAATACATGATTAATGTAATGCATATTGCTTTTTTAGGGATATTTTCTACATATTAAACCTTTATTATAGTTTTAAATAAGCCTCACACTGAGAAATCAATTTGTTCACTGCCAGTCGATATCTCTGCCCTGCACACTTGGCCTATGTAAATCTGTGTGCCGAGCGAGGATCCCATTAAGTTAGAAAGTTCCACAGTGTTATTCCATTATGTTATCTGCTTCCGACTGTTAACAGCAGAAGCTAGGTGATGATGTGACATGTATTTTTTCCATTTGTACTGTTGCTGTGGCCTTGATAAGGGCGTCCGCATGCCCGTGTCAGAAAAAGGAAGTGGGAGGGTTCAGAGGGCACCAAGCAACCTGATGGCAGGATTGTCAATAGAGCTTGTTGGCGTTGGATACCAGGAATCTGACACCACCTTCTCACAAATGCTGCCACTTGGAGTGGCGTCTCATCCTGAGTGACGGTCTACAAGACTCCAGGCTCTGACACCTCGTTATCACTATGGCATGGAAGCCGGCAGAGAGAGGCCCGCCAGGCATGTGACGCTAGAGGGATGGGGATTAAGGTTGTTAGGTTGGGGAGTGCAGTGATTACCTGACAATAAAACAGTGTGTACAAGAGATGAAAAATTGGTCAATGAATATATTTGTTTTCAGATGTTTTATTTTAACAACCATAATAAGATTAATGTTGGTGTGAGAACCAAAAGCAGGATATGAATGGGCATAAAGAAAGATTTCACAGCAGTTGACAGCAATGTTGGGTAAGAGAAATTGTGCATTTTTCAGACAAGAAGCCCCAAAGAGCTCCAAGACACCGTGAAAATCCTCTCCTGGTCAAAAGCCATCGAAAACATATCTTTTCTGCAAGCTTGGCAAGCAAATAAGAGGAAAAATGTCACATTCGTTAAATCATTTCAGTGGCTCCAACATGCCATAGGGCACAGAAACAAATCATACCATTTACAAATCTGCAGCATGTATATCTATATCTACTAAGCAATTTGGCAAGACTATGATTCAATTACAGCTGAATTTAAGAGATTTTCATATTTGAAAAAACATACAGCATACTAATGGTAGTGCAAATCATTGTAATCTGGTAGCCTACCCTTTCTTTTGAAAGAACATTTCAGTTTAGATAAGCTGGAGCTTCTCAACTTCAGGAATAATTTCTGCCAGAACAAAATGTAGATGGAAAAAGGGAGAAAGGTCTGTGATGAAAAGTGAGCCAGCAGTGCGAAACCTCACTTTTGTTAGATTCTGTACCTTGAAACTTTGCACTCAGGGTACATTTTATGTACTTAAATCTCAAATACATTTTTTCCAAATTATTCAGACGGCTGGTATTGTAAATGCGGAAGTATTTAACCTTTTGACTCGCCCTTAATGACATAGAGCTCACTTCATCTGAAGATGGTTGAAGAGGAATATTTATCAAGAGGTCTTGTTTTGACTGTCACTGTGTCACATGGCACTGCTGCCATATTTGCAAAAATATGACCTGTTACTGTCATTTACAATTAATTGTGGAACTTCCCCCAAAAACATTCTAAAATACAAAAATCTGCAAAATATTATAATAATAAATCACAACAGAGTGTTTAAAGGGATTTGCAGCATAACCTTGAAAGCATTGTACTCTACAGTAAAATAATAATAACTGATTTACCTTTATACAATTACAAATATACATCATGTAGCACAGATTTGTGTCCATCCCTAATTTACAACTAAGTCTAGACTCGTGTTTTTACACACCACTGTATGAGATCTTAGATACTGTGGATGGATGGATGGATGGATGGATGGATGGATGGATGGATGGATGGATGGATGGATGGATGGATAGATAGATAGATAGATAGATAGATAGATAGATAGATAGATAGATAGATAGATAGATAGATAGATAGATAGATAGATAGATAGATGTTTCTGAGATGATCATCATTTCTTTGGCTCCATCAGTGCACAGTCTCTATCTCTGTGTAATAGCATCACTTTAAGGACTATCTACAGCCACACTCTGCCACCACCATTCCCTCATACTTGTGGTTGAAAGTGATCACCCCGTTATCATGATAAAGGAGTGAGATCGGCTCCAACTTAGTGGGTACACAGCAGGCACGCGATGCCTTCTCTGGACTCTTAACACTCAGCAGTGTCTGCACTATGGCATGTTTGGTAGGCGAGACCTCGGAGGTCATAGGTGGGTTACACACGCCGTTGCACTCATATGCCTCATAGCCCAGAGGCTGAATGATCCACGTATCCCAGCCAATGTCTTTAAAATCCACAAAGAGCGGGGTCCTCTTGCATGGCTCGCTCTTAACATTGCGACGGATTCGGGGAGGTGTGTCATAGATAAGGTTGGACTGCAGTTGTGTGAGAGACTGTTGGTCCAGCCTGTCCTGGTTAGCACGGCCAGTGTTGTGATTAACATGCCCCCAGAAAGCTTGCTGGCTCATGTTTTCAGGAAGGTCATTCTCATGTTCAATCATCTGGTTGAGCTCTTGCTTATCCTGTTTGTGGTCTCTGCTCTGATCATCTGAGAATACAATCATCACTGCATTGTGTTTCCCCTCCAAGCTCCTGTCGATATCAATCTCAACCAACCTCCCGCCCTCCTCTTGTGTGGCCCCTTCCTCCTCTGACTCCAGGCTTGCAATATGAACCTCCAGTCTGTGAGTTGTACACCCTGACTTCAGCCAGAGTGTAACCACATGAGTCAGGTCAAATGACACCCAGCTGTTATCTTTGGCATGGATATGCTTTGTCACCAGTTCCTCCAAATCCTTCATCTCCACCACCTCCTCTTTAGCCCTCCTTCTCCCTTCTTTCCCCACCTCTTTTGTCCAAACAAGGCCCTCATGTATTTTGTAGATGGTCACCTTGCAGTCAATGCCAGCATATGGTCTTTGGGCTTTCTGGACCAGTGTGAAAAGGCGAAGCTCAGCTATTGTTATGTGCTCATGGTGGCGCATTGAGATGTTGAACAGCAGAGGATGTATCCTTACACCCCTGGCTGTTATACTGTATGGGGAGGAATCTGAAATCAAAATATCAATAAGTGTGCCTCAGTGCATTTTGTATGTTTCTGTGGTCACATCTCAAGTTGAACTCGATACAATATTAAAATGTACCCTTGTATTAAATACACAGTTTCTATTATAGATGTGTTTGGTTAGTTTAAATTGTAGGCTTTATTCAAGTGCAGTTTCATAGTTTCAATGAAAACAATTGACAACTTCCAGACTTACAGAATATTGACTTCCATAAATAAAAGTAGTCAAATATTTTAAAACATTAAATTAGTAGAATGTTAAACATGGTCCCAGTGATCTGAAAGCTAATCCTTCAAATCTGTTTTATGTGTTATTTTAAAAATAATACAAAGTTGAAAAATGTTTATGCATTATATACATTTTCTGTGATTGTTGTGGCATTAAACAAAATCAAGTTTGTACCTTCATTCTTGAAACTGCGCACAATGTTGGCCGAGGGCACAGCAGTGTGGTCATGGGCAAATCGGTTGTACAGCTCCAGCATGTACTCTGGTGTCTCCTCACGGGCAGCGAGGGGCCTAGGCTGGGGCCTCAGCTCTGTGAGGTTCATTGTGGACAGAAAATGGCTCAGAAAGTCCTGTGCATCAAGTAGCGGATTATCACCCACACCCCTACCGACTGATGCCCTGTGATGGTTGTCAGGAGACCTGATGGGACTGCTCAAGCTCAAACCAGTCAACATCAGAAGTACGACATTCAGAGAGCGGATAAACCCACCGTTGGAGAAGACTGAAACGGTCATAGTTGGAGTGTAGCAGGTTTAAATCCAAAGATTCAGTATCAGATGAGAAGATGTGATGGATCCTTTAGAGTGGATACCTGTAACCAGATTAACCTTTCGAGGAAGGACTGTCCTTCATTAAAGGACAACAGATTGCTGTGGGGGGCAATGAGAAAACAGCTTTGCCCTTGTTGATCTTGTGGTTTGGTTCTGAGGGCAGGGCTGTGCTGTCCAATGTGCTGTGCTGACATGTTTGGAGATGTCACCAAGGACCTGCTCGGCCCTCCTCTCTCTCTCTCTCTCTCTCTCCCCGTCAGGAATTTATGGCTATCCATAATTTCCTCTGATATTAATTTTGATGTATGCTTTTCTCTGACAACACTTGCCCTAGTGACTTTAGATTGACATGACAGTTGATTTATGAGCTGCTATATGCTGCACCATGCTGATAAGGAAGAGATAAGGAAGTCATTGCAATTGAGTTCTCCAAAAATGTGGGACAGATTAAGCATGGAAATTATGTTGTGTGTTCTACTTTCCTGTCTAATTCAGAAAATCAATTAACAATTAACAATATTGTTAATTTATGCTTAGCAATCTCCCCAAGAGGCCAGTGAAGACTCAATATCTGTACCTCTGCCTCTTCCATATTAAATTGAATTAACATTTTTAATCAGGTTGTGAATATCTCATTTGCATATGCTTTTAACTAATTACTGGTTTTGTTTTCTAATAGTGGCTTTCTGACACCTCACATATGTAATCATTACTATAATTTCAAATGAAAAGTAATGAAACTAATTTTTAAAAAAATATTTTAGATCATTGTGACCTAAAACAAACCTATCTACGACATTATACATTTCAGCCAATCGAATCATCACTGTATATAAGAAATAACATGCAGATATATGTGGACATATGAACCCACAGTACACACGTGTATCTTAAATGCCACCACTTATGCAAGTGGGCTCTGCAGCCTGCAGGAGGAAACATGACTAATGCCGACACATTTTAGCCCTCTCAGTGCCTGTGTGCAACATGCAAGTTCAGAAGTTCATAATCACTGTTCAAGGCTACTGTGGATATGAGGTTATGTGAATGTGAATGTCTTGACAGTTTAATGTGTTGTGTTCATTGCTATTCTGTTTAAATGAATTACTGAAAATCCATTACTGGGTCACTGTTTAATCACTAGATGCATAAAGTGAGAAGTGTAAACCCAATATTTTTAAAAATCACTTTTCGGCAACTCTATGATTTATGAAATATTCAATCAGTGCATAAAAGTTAAAATTTTGTATATTTTTTAATGTAATTCTACATATCAGTCAGTAGGCACAGATGTGGCTAGTGGTTTTAAATCTTGCATATCATTGTACTGAGTGCCAGACCTCTTTTACAGCTGACAAATGCTACTAACTGGCATTCAGCCTAATATGACCCACCTTTGTAGTTGTGTTTGTAATCGTGATTAAGCCACTTTAAAGTTCAAGTCCTTATACAGGGGGAGTTCATTGTTTTGTACCCTGTGTGTACCCTGCACAGTGTGACTAGTAGTACAACATAAATGCTGTTTTGACCCTAAGAAAGTTGAAAGAGGAATATCCACAAGTCACTTTTTGTATCTAATAATTCAAGCCTGTTCAGAGCACATACAATTGGAGTTGTTTAACTGGCGAGCTGCTTAAAGGGTACTCACTGATCAATTGGATGAGGACATAAACTTCATCTGTAATACAAAAAGAGAATACAAATAAAAATGAAAATTATGAAATTATGCACATCATTTATTTTCATTTGTCATTCAACATCGCAATGCAAAAAGGACCACTGCAAAGCAGAGTTGTATTGAATGTAGGTTCACTTATCAGTATTGGCTAATACACAGCAACAACTTTTAATTAATAACATGGGTATTACAATAAATATTACAATATAAATACCTTCATTTAGAATATTAACAGTCCTTTGTTACACATTTACAATCCCATTTTGCCTATCATGAAAACAAATGGAATAGAGAGGATTTTCCAATGACCGCACAGTCAAGTCTGATGGCAGGTTTGTCAAGAATAAACTGAATTCCAAAAAATTTGAATGTTTTTGATGACTAGGCTGACAGCAGCCATAATCCTAATTATCTCAAACACTGACCTAAAATATTATTCAAATTATTTCATATCAGAATTCACCCCAGAACCCATGGGGATAGACGGATCCACATGTCACTTTAGGCCTTAATAGCTTGACAAACTGGAAGTATTATAAATGATCTCATATTTGTGTAGCAATAAAATTCAAACTGTATATGTTATATATTCTTTGGAGTCATGATTCTTGCATATTTAGGCTATTTGAGATGTCATACATCATGAGCTTCAGACAGACAGTATCATCCTAAACGACAAAATCCATCAAATCTATTTCCAAATAATCTCCATTATAAATACATGTAAATGTTTGGCACATTATTTCCTGTAAACAAAGGAAATTCTTTTTTACTGAATGTGTTTCTCTGTCTGTACAAGAATGAGCAAATGGCACAAATCCGTATTTCACCAATGGAAAGTGTCTCTACAGGATTTAACTGGCTTTACTGGCCGTGTTGTCATGTTTACACCCAGGAGTCCAGCGGTGGAGGTTTGTTATCCATGAGGCCCACTGCAGGCCTGCCAGCTCTGATGAAGTGTTTTCTCTCACTTATCGCCTAGGACAAGAAATATGCAAACCGCCGGTGTTAGTCACTTTGTATTAAAAGTACTGACAGATGCAAACACAAGTCACAAGAAAGTAATCATTTTAAATTAAATCCTGTAAAACAAAACTATAACAACATCTGCTTATCCTCCATACTAGGTTTAAATGCATTCAGTGCATTCAAGTGGTAGATTACCTGGAGAGTGTCTCTTTCAACAACAGGCCCTTTTCCTTCTCCAACTCTATCATTTGGCTCTAAGCTGGAATACACATCTGCAAAGGAAAATTACAATCATATTATAAATCATAGATGTAAGATAAAGGGAAGTCTTTCAAATGCATTAAAAGAGAAAAATAACAGATGTAAATCAGTTTATAGGGAAACCTTTGTCCACCAGTCTGCTCTTTAAGGTAACCTACTATTGGAAACTGTGAGTGCAATCATTTTAGAATAAAACTATTCACTCCTTAAATGGCTCAATAACGAATCAGGGTTCTATTATCCAAATCAAAGAACCTTTTGCCACAAAAGTATTAATATATTATATTATCAGTTACATGTCAGTTAAACATTAACCATACCAGTAAGACTGTAAGCTGGATGCTGTTTGGGTTACATTTAAGTGTAAGTTTATGTGTCACTTCAAAATACATTAGTCAGCAGTTGACAAAACTGTAACTTGCAGTTAATAAATGTAGCTCAATTTTAGCCTGAATGTCTTTGTATCTGTGTCTTTGTGTCCTTACTTTTTTTCTTTTCTTTTTCTTTGTTTTTATACTACTACTGACCTAAAGACGAAGTTTCCTGTACTGTGTAGATGAGGTAGTATATTTAACCATTTACCTCCAAACACTCATTTTTGAAACACTTCACTACTTCAGCAATACAATTACAAATATGCAACATATTTTACTGTTACTGTCTACAGGAGCCTATCAACCCTACACCAACAATACTTTTGCAGAACAGGCCAGTCAAAGAAGCTGTTCAAAAGCATCGATATAGAACCACTTGTTTTGACTTTGAGGGTGTATACTGCAGGCCTGGGCACCTATTGCCCTTTTAAGTGAATCACGTTTCCAGAAGGATACATCCATTCATTTTGACTTCAACATCAGAGAGAGAAACGGGCAAAAGCAATGAAATAATTCGTTGAAAGTAGTTTATATCTATTCCCTCCAAATTTATATTTCAAAGTGTATTTAAGTTGTGTTTATAATTCATAAGGAAGCCTTAAGAGAAAATCCCTGTTTCAGTGGGAAGCTAGAGGTCGCTCTTGACGTGGGAAAGTGGGTGCCCTTTTGGAATAGCGTTCAAACGAAATGTGACTGGTGATGCGTGAGCCTGCCCTGCCTCTGGGAGAGACTGTTCAGGCTAATAAGCCAAGTCTGTGCACTGATAACCTTGGCAGCACATCATTGGTTCAAGGCTATGTTTCAGAAGAATATGGTCTGGGACTGTAAATGCCTATTTCTTTGTCCCTGACGTAACAAAAACCACAGTATGTTTAAAAGCATATTTTTTCTCTCTCCCTGAGCTAGAGGACACTCTTCTCATTTAGATGATGGTTTAATAACATTTTGCTGACGGAATGCATGAAATGCTTTGCTGACCTTGGTTTTTGTCCATGAGAGGCAAGGTGATGTCATCGCTGCCTTGCTTTCCACTCTTGGATTTTTTAGTCACTCCGGTAGTTGTTGGCTTTGAAAGACAAAAAGGATTATGTTAATGGATGACAACCTGAATTTTATGCTTTCCCCTTCTAATTTTACAGAAGGGCATTACATTGGTTTTGATTAGACTGAGTTGCACTCAGTCTTGGACAGTAACACATCCTGTTTTGGATGCAACAGGAGACTATAAGCTTAAATTTATTTATTCCATTTCACTGTCCTCACTTCCCTTTTTATCTGACAAAACACAGATTTCACAGTTGACTTTATGTTGTTTGTTTTTTTTCCTTTTACATGTTTGACAACTACGTTATGTCTTGACACATATTAATACTACCAGACAAAAAGGGGTTTGTATAGTCATGCCACAAAATAAAAGAGGCTTTATTTAGTTTATTATGTATGCTGACTCTGTTTTTGTTATTGGCCAACAAAAAGTAACAAATACCTTGAAGTGGCCCTTGTTCCAACCTGCCTTGTTCAGAGTGTTTCTCAGGTCCTTGTAGGACCATATTGTCTGGAGGACATGGGAAGCTGCCTTGGTCTCCCGTGCTGATTGGCTGACAACAAATCATTAGACAGTGTGGTAAACAACAGAAGACCGCTGTGAGACAATACTGTCCCGATGATTAAATTCCATTTTTGACTGCCCTGGGATATGATGTTTATAATATCATGAGCAGTTGCACTGAGGCTGTGTCAGAAGTATAAACAGATATTAAGCAGTCACAGCAACAAATACTATAAAACCAATACAGTTTCCTCCTAAGATACAATTTATTGAACTAAGAACTTTATTTATCCCAAGGGAAATCTCTGTGCAGCAGTTGCAGTGCAAAGTAGGATAGAGTGCAAATATCTCTAGAGCAAATATATACAAATGTATGGATTATACAGATTATCAATAAGATGCAAACCTAATGTATACAGGTTAACTGTATGTAACATAAATGTAAACCAGTTAACAGAAAGGTGCATCTTCCATCTTATTTGACAGGACAATATCTGAGACTTTTGACTTTGAAATTACAGCCTGAAAGTTTAGCAAGCTGTACTATTATTATTTGACCAATTTAGCTATTCACTGTTTTTGGTTTGGAATGCAGTACATATTTAAACATTTGTCTAAAGGTATGAATGTTAACACTTTATTTGAAAGACTTTATTTTACTTAAAAGTACCTTGACTTGTTGATGGCCACCAGTTTCTGCACAGCATGACCCTGTATGAGGGCTCGGGCATTCTCTGGGCTATCTGTGATGATCTCATGGATAGTGTTCAGAATAGACACTACTGTATCCCCTTCAAGATTCTTCGCTGGGTGCTG